AAATTTCTTGTTGAAAATAAATTACCATTATCTGTTGTTAAATCATCATCTTTTAGACAAGTTATTTATACTTTAAAACCAGAAGCAATTCCAGATTTGAATGAATTGAATCACTTATACTCTTCTCTGTTAGAAGTTATTCATAATGAGAAGGGTACCTTAAATGAAGTTACAACTACAGATCAACATACTGGTGATGTTACAGACCGTTCTGTCAGTCGTCATGATGATGCCAATGTTGATGATTCTTTGAATGCATCTACAACAGGATGGGTGTAAGTCAATCTAAGTCAAACAGTGAATTTGGTTTGTCTTGTTCTTTTATATATATATATATGTGTGTGTGTTTTAAATTTGGTTGTTTTCATGAGAGATCTCTGATTTTGTATTATTATTATTATTTTGATTGTTTTTGTTTTTAAATATTAGTTTAGTTTCACCTTCTGCTGCTTAACGCTATTTTATCAGAGGTAAAGTTTATTTATGTGTACTTATATATGATTTGGTTTAATATGGTAGACTTGTTAAATATTATATTCTTTTGTTTTGTAATTTACGATGTAAGAACTAATTATAAGATTTGTTAGTTATGCTTACAACTTTTGCAGGTAAAATTAGTTTATATATATACACCATATCATATATTTCAATTGCCGATGCAGCATTCACAAACTAAGAGGAAACAAGCTGTATTATATAATAATTTGACCTGATGAGCAATGAAATCGCTTATAGTTTGGAGTTCCGTAAGCCAGCCGGGGTGATCATGTAAGGTGTGTGATTGTTCTTCAAGTGCCAAAGGTCTTTAATCTTTTCTGTAGCATCTATTTGATAATTATTATTCAACATGAAAATGCATTTTTCAATAACAGTGATCGGTATGACTAACGTGAAGTCTGATATAATCTCACCATCTGATAATTTACCATTTGAAGTCATAATTCCCACTAATTCACCATCAGCATTGAAAATACCACCACCAGAAGATCCATTCCAGCATCCGGCTGATGCAATAATCAAAGCAATCTCTTGTCTACCGAACCCTATATCTGAGGGAACCAATTTATTAAAATGGCCTTCTGACTGAACTGGACGAACCTCTGATTTACCTTTCAAATAAAACAAACCGTATCCTAAAGACTGAACATAAGCACCTGGTCTTAAAGACTTATTTTGTGAGCCAAAACTAATGCATCTCTTAACTGGCTTAAGTATTTTACATTCAAAATTCACCCAAAGAAAGCATAAATCATATCCTTTAACTGGACACTTTGATATAATTACATTATCTTGTGTGATCTTCGCCTTTGAGTATCCAGGTACGGTGATTGTGAAACTTCTCATCTTATCAAGTTTCATAACATGCTCATTAGTGATGATGCAATCTTTTGATATAACAACACCACTTCCCCAAAAGCTTTGATCATCATGAGTCTCTACTGAAATTCTAACAATTGACTTGAATAAATTATTTTTCTTCTTGGATGCAGTATCAGAGGGGTTTATGGCTTCTTTGGAGGTTGTTTCAAGCTCCCCAAAAAGTGGACAGTCAATCAGACTCATTATAGCATCCCAAGATATTATGGCAGTTAAATTACCATCACCATTGTTCTTTTTAAGGTAACCAGCTATTAGACCTAATGATCTTTCAATTCTGTCTGTGTGATTTTCCTCCAAGGTCACAAAACCTCCCATAATATTGTCAAGGTATCGACAGTCACTAAGATAACCTGATTCATTAATTTTATAGTTTATGCTTCCACGAGCTTTATAGTCAATGAAGACAGCAACATTAGTCAAACTGAACGGACAGCAGCTTATCACAAATTTTGAAGGAACAGATACAGCTTTCGCTGAAATAGGCTTAAATGGAATCATCTTTGCAAAATTTATTAAGGAGAAAAACCCTTCTAATGTAGATCCCAAACCAAACATCAATACCGCTAAGTTATTTGTTCCAGCAGGTATGAATTCAAAACCATCACTGTATAAACGATCATTTAAAAATGAGCTGAAGCCCAAATCATTGCTATGCTGATTGATAGGTCTTTCACCTTCTAATACTAACGGTAACCACCCTATTGATGAAGATTTGACCAAATCACTTGTTGTAAAGCTGTAAGAATATGAACTTGGAGTGGAAATAGAGCTGATTGTAATGATGTTGTAAGCCCCGGTAAAAGTGTTGTAAATGAATGTCCCACTGGTGGCATTGACCAGCATTGTATTGACATAATGGATGGTGATTGGTAAGTAAAGCCAATCTGACATTTGAATCTAATATATCTTTAATGAATATTTTATAAGTGAACGAATTCGACCTGGTAATTTTGTGTTCTTCTTGATCCTGAGCAAGTATGGAAATACTTCAAGCAAAAAAAATAGCAGATATTAACACCACCAAGTGAGTGAAGTCTCTGATTACAGGGACATGTCTTCACTAAAACAGGTGGAATTCAAGTAAAGAATAAACACAGATCGAAATGCTCCACAAAAGTTGATAAGGTGTGAAATTCCGAGGGCCCGAGTTTCCCTTTTGGGATACTTGTCATCTGATCTGGTAAGAACACGATTTTAAGAACTTGATTGATATTTTTACAAAATGAACACTTTGGCGGGATGCTTGAAGACTTTGATGTTTGAAAATTGAAACAATTGGAGCGTTTGGATCAACATATTTGAAGTTAGCTCTTGAATTCAGATATCCATTGTTAGCTATGTCAGCTCATGAAAGAGGATTCAACTTGGAACCACCAGTGTACGACTATGGTGACAATTCATTCAGAAGCAAGATAAATGAAGCTAAAGATCAAATAACAAAGGTCAGCTATCAAGTATTAGATTGGTGGAATATTCAACCATTTTATAAAAAGGCTTTGCTAGTATTAGCCAATATATTTTTGGTGCTTATGGCTCTACTATCAATTGTATACCATGAAACTCTTGTTCATTATGTTGTTGAATATTCAGATAAATGGTCTAAAAAGCCAATAAGTTTATTGATCATTGCTATGATGTTATTTATCATTTCATTCCCACCATTGATTGGATTCAGTTTTACAAATACAATGGCTGGTGCATTCTATGGTGTCAGCTTTAAAGGATGGAGTATTATTGCATTTGGTTCTATAACTGGTTCTGTTGCCGCATTCATATTTTACAGATATATTTTAAAATCTAGGGCACATGCATTGATCTCTTCAAATCAAAAATTATACGCTTTTTCTACAATTTTACAAGAAAACAACAGTTTTTGGATATTAACATTAATAAGGTTATGTCCTTTCCCTTATTCATTAACAAATGGTGCATTAGCTGCTATTCCTGGTGTTTCTATTCTTAACTTTACATTAGGTAGTGTGATCAGTTCACCAAAGCTGGTTATTTATTTATTCATTGGGGCAAAACTTAAAGATTTAGGTGAAGCTAAAGATACCACTACAAAGATTATTGATTTTGCCTCCATAATCTTGACATTTGTGTTTTTGATACTAACAGGTTGGATCTTGTATATGAAGACAAATAAGAAAATGGAAGAATTAAGAGTTGAAAGTGGATTTCAACAATCTGATGAAAATCAAAATTTTGAAAATTTCTTAGAAAATGATTCAGAAATTCAAAGTACAGGTAATACAAACTTAGATACTGAATTTGATATAGATGATTTTGATAGAGATACCAATAAACAAGTGAGATGAGTTTATGATTAACGAATAGAAAAGGAAAAGGACTACTGGATAATAAGTACGTTTTAAATAAATAAATATGTCATAAATTAAAAAGTATTTCTTGTATTCCCTCCCAATAAATATAACTCCTGTAATAATTCCCATATGTATATAATTCATAAATGTCACGTCGTCGCACTCTCCAGCAAAATATAATCATAATAATTAAATGTTATTATCATGGCTGAAAATTATCGTCAACCTTTATTGGATCATCATCATCATAACCGTCATCATCATCATAGTTTGAAGATCCATAAACATCTTCTTTTAGTCTCTTTTTTGTTGGTGATGTTTCAAACAAACCATCATAACTATCAATATTATTGAAATTCTTGAGATTTTGTCCAGTTATTCTATCCTCCCCTGAAGATGCAGGTCTATTATATCCTTCAAATGACTTTTTAACAGGTGTTTTAACTCTTCTAAAATAACCATCATAACCTGATTGGAAATTTAATGGTGAAGATCCTTGACTTGCATTAGCAGATGAAGATATTGAAAAACTTGGCTGTCTAGTTCTATTATAAGAAGATTCAATAAGTTTCCCAGTTGCTGAATATGATCTATGTGATTTGACTTCTCTACCGGTAGATTCACTCATACGTCTTCCACTATAAACAACATTTTCTCCATCAACATGTAAATGAGATTTAACAGATCTTAAATTTCTCAATCTTTCAATTGATAAACTTTCAGATCTATGTCTTTGATGATGTCTTTGTAGTGTTGAAGATGTTTTTTTTTCAGGTTTTGGTGTTGTATGACGATTATAGGTTTGTGTTTCTAATGTGATTGAATCCTTAGCTAAATTTGGATCATTATCTTTTTCCGAATTGAAATTTGGAGAATTAACTAAAGCTAAATTTAGATTCAAATTTTTGAAATTTCTACCTCTTAATAATTTTATAGCATTATCCAATGCAAATTCAATACCACAATGGTTTTTTATAATTGATATTTTTGGCCATGTAGCTCTTGCACCTTTCATAGTACAATGTAATAAATATTCAGGAGTTGGATTAGCCAAAAGTTTATTCAATTTTGAAATTTCTCTTAAATCAGGTAAAATTGTAATATCACCAGAATATTGTTGTGAAAGAACAGATGTCAGTTTAGTACACAAATTTCTTGCAACTCCAACTTCAGCACCCATTTGTAGATAATGAATCACTTCAGCTGACCATAATCCATAAATTTGACCTAATTTGGTTTTGAAAATTGCACTGTATTCAGTTTCAATTTCACCACCAACACAAGTAACTGACAATTTTAAAAAAGGGACAACATGGGGATTGACTTGACATGCAATAATATGATCAACATTGAACATTTCTGATAATCTTGCAATTGGTAAATCATTATCAACTGAACCATCGACAAATTTAACCGAAGCATGATGCCATTCTTGTGTAGCACCCGTTTTGGAATTTTTTTCATAAATTGTACTTGATGGGAAAACACCAGGTAATGAACATGAGGCACAAACAGCAGACCAAATCAAAACAGATGGTGCTGTAAGATAATTTAATAGTCTTGGATGTTCATGAACACTGGCAGGGGATACTGTTATGTTCAAAATTCTTCCCGTTCTATTATAAGCTTCCCTAAATGTTAAATCACCAAGAAAATCAATCATTGTATCTTGTAAATTTTTATTATCATACCAAGTTCCATATTTCAAGAATCTTGAAAGACAAAGTAATGTTGATTTTATACTTCCTTGCTCTTCAAATATATTAAATTTTTGCTCCACGATTGTTTCCATCAATTCCATAATTTCATCATTATCATGAACACAAAGTATACTTGCAACAATAGCACCAGCAGAACTACCAGATATTATTCTTGGTAATACATTTTCTTCTAGTAAGGCTGCTAATACACCAATATGGAAAAGTCCATAACATCCGCCTCCTGAAAGCACAAGTGCTGTTCTCCCAACGTTTTTCCTGGTTTGTACCAACATCCCCAAGATGTATCGATCATCTAATCCACGATTAATATTCTCTTTAGTAACTTCATCTAAAGCCAAATTACATTCATCTAAGTAATCTTCGATCAATGTTTTTGTACCTGAATGTGAATGACGATATAAGTTGACATTACCAATATTACCTAAATTTCTCGTCCATGTTGTTCGTATGAGATATAATAATCTTGGTATGTTCTTCTCTAATCTTGCAGCTCTTAATTCATTCAAGCTATTTTCCACAATATCATAGTCATATAGTCTTGACTCTTTTTCACTTTTCCAAATGTTAAAACCTTGTAATTCATCAAGTTCATCGCATACCTGGAGCCAATCAGTATATGATATTGCCGTTTTCTTCTGTAGTAATAAATTATCAATAGCCTCTTTTTTGGTGAAATCATTATCACTATAGCCAGTAAGCCCTACTTTTTCTAACAAAGACCCCACCACTGATTGAGCAAATCCGAAAGCAAATTTTAGTTTACCTGGTTCTTCAGATATTGGTGTATTTGGTTTATCTTGACTCTTTATCTCATCTCTTGACACATCGGTGGAAGTGCTAGTTTTTGTCTTGTACCGAGTAATCAACGACTCTGTGATGGACCTCAGTGGCTTATCCTTCAGCGCATATAAGCCGCCCAGCTCAGTCATCTTTACCACTGATCTAATTGTTGTTGGTCAAAGAGAGAATATGAGACGTTGAGATGTTGAGATTATGTATCTATATAAAATGGCTTGTTAAAATGAAGCTGACTCACCACTGACTAAGCAGTGACGGGACTCGCGAAAGTAACGCCAAACATTTAAAAAATAAAAATTGCACGCTTTGTTTTGACAGGTGTCTTTTTTTTTTTTTTTTTTAGCTTAAAATAATATTTTCTCAGTGAAAAAAGCCGTTTTGGTATTTCGCAGAACTTAGAAGCGCGTTTGGATCAAAAATTATTTTAGTTTATTATTACATGTTTTCGTCTAAAAGTATTCATAGAATATTGATTTGCATCATTTCCTAGACTACCTCTTATTCTAGACATTACAGCTTGCTACTCTGTGAAGTTATACAAAAGAGATTATCAAATTCAAGACATCATCTGCACTAATTGCACAGCACTTACTCAAGTCCTTCGTTTAATATTTTTGCTTCATTAGCGTTACGTCTGCAATAATAAGTCTCAGAAAAGATAATTAAACCCTGAAATTAAGGGAGTTCAAACATAGAAATAGGGGATAACATTCAAAGAATCATGAGTGGAAATCAACCAAGAAGTGGTAATAAACCATCTTTCTTCAAAACTTTACCTGAGAATATCGCTACTTCGCCAACCGGTATTGTTAAGATTTCACACAGTCCTTTCCCTTCTTTAAATCCAAACAAACAGTTCAAATCAGTTTATGAAAGAGCAGGGTTTGATGTTTACAAGCCAAACAAGTCAAGAAGCAATTCTCGTGTCACTTCACCAACTATTGAACATGGATTCAGATCACAATCAGCTGCTCAACTAAATCAACCTCCTTCTGGTTTTCCAAGAGTTTTTGATGAAAAGAGAAATATGAGTGAACAAAATTACGTCGGTCAACCACAACAAAGAAGTACCAATAACGGATACAAATACGGTGATCAAGTCCCAGGTTTCAACAAGGCAGCTCTTAATATCGATGCTAATTTGGCCAACTCTTCAGAAAGAGGTGAAATATCAGCTCAAATGTCTACACCTTCTGTCGCTACTAGCACTTTTGATAGACATGGCGGTGGACAACCTTTCAGCTCAACATCAACAACATTTACAGATACTGATAATAGATCACCTTCAAGTCGTACATATTCAAATGATAATGATGTCTCAAATAATCAATTTGTTAGTGCACAATCATTACCATACACATCTCCTGATAGAAATTCAAAAAATTCTATTCCAACTTATCGTTCAAATGGTGTTGCTTCAACCCCATCAGCTAGTGGGTCACCAGATGAATATTCATTTGCTCCAACTCATGTCAACAATGAAGGATATTCCAGATCTATCCAACCACAAAATCCATATAATCAAACATTTTACAATAATCAAAACCAATTTGAACCACGTTCAGCTGGGACAGATTATAATGATGAAGCGGATACTTCTATTAACACTGTCAAATATACACCAAAAGCAGATGTTGGTAATCGTGATTCGAGACCAATGTTACAAGCTCATGAAGATTTATTAGCAAGTACAACAATGGATAAATCTTTGGAAGGTTTCAATCCAATTTCAAATTCCACAGGTATCGATAGTTCAATTAACAATGGAACTCCGTCAGATGGAGGTGATATTTCAGATGATGAATCGTTCAAGAGTGAAATTTTATCACCAAAATTCAATTTTGAAACTAGTAAAGAAAATGCAGAAGATGTCACAAGTAATCATGATGAAACAACAAGAAATTTAGAACTAAATCTTCCACCATCACCTCAAAAGCAACAAGAACCATATTTTCAACCTCAACCACAATCACCTGCACCACCTTCACAATCAACAATTCCACAATTCATTGTCAGTGATTCAGATGGTAACATTCAATATCAAGATGATGTTAAATCTCCTTCACCAACATATAATCAAAATAGTAGACAAAGTGCTGTTTCAATGGCTGCTAGTTCAATCTATAGTAATGAAGATAAGAATGAACAATTACAATCAACACATATACCCGATACTATTGAAGAAAATGAAGAAGAATTTGAAGATGCCCAACAATATAATCAAGCTCCACAATATGATTCACAACCAGTCCAACAATATGAAGATGATTATAACAATGATTACAATTCACAACCAGGTCAACAATATGAAGATGACTATAACAATAATTACACTCCACAACGTGATTTACATAACAATTTTGATCATGAATACGATGATGATTTAAATAATGCACATGAATCATCAGGTCCAGTTTATGAAGAAATTGAACAACAATTAGAAACTTTATCAATGAGATCAAAATCACCACTACCACCTCAAGCTCAAGTTCAATCACAACCACCTCAAATTATGGTTCATTCTGTTAAAGAAGTATCAACTGATGATATTAATAATCATAGAGATGCACCAGAACCACCATTACATCATAGAAGATTAAATTCAGAAGTTAAGTCATTTGATGAAAATCAACAAACTGTTCATTCTAATGGGTATCAAGGTGATCAACAACCAGAACCAGAACACCACCAATATCATGAGCATGATCATGATTATCAACCACAAGAACAAGAAATCACACAACCAGAACACAAGGAACCAGAAATACCGAAATGGCCACCTGGTGAAGGTCCGTGTAGAAAATGTGGACTTGAAATTGAAACTAAACCAATTTATTCTAAAAGTGGTGAATTATCAGGTCAATGGCATAGAGAATGTTTCACATGTACTGTTTGTGATTTAAAATTCAATAAAAAAACTACTTGTTTTGTGCTTAATGATATGCCATATTGTGAATATCATTATCATTTAACAAATAACTCACTTTGTAAAGTTTGTGGTGAAGGTATTGTTGGTAAATGTCTTGAAAATGATGCTGCTGATAGATATCATGTTGATTGTTTGAAATGTACAAAATGTTCAAAACAAATTACAAGTGATTATCTATCAATTAATGATAAAGTTCATTGTGAATCTTGTGCCTTGGAATTCACTTCAAGTTCACAATTAGGTATTGATAATGAACTTGTTGAAAGAAGAAGAACAAGATTGTTCTATATTGATTAGAATTTATTCTCTATAACATGAAACAGATAGATACCCATAAATGTTTTTATATAAGTTTTCAAAATTAAATTGCATTAGGACGCTGGTATTCAATTATAAATAATTGTAGAAACTACAAATTTATATTAATTAACTTTTTATATAAAGTGATCGGCTAAAACAGATCGGTTTGATGCATTTTAATTATACAATTAGAACAAAAACACAACGCAATTCAAAAGCAAAATAGTAAAAAAGTATTAAAAAACAATCATTTGAAACTAATATAATTTGAATACCAAATGACTTAACGAAAAAAAAATTTGAAAGAAAATTGAAAACAGTGTGAATATTATCAAAAGATTTATGAATTGATTTAAGCTTTTGGAGTTCCTTTGAAGAAAGGATGAGCCATAGCTTCTTTAGCAGTTAATCTTTCTTGATGATCATATCTTAATAAATTATCAATCAAATCAACAACTTCATCATCAACCAAATATTTATTATTATCATTAACAAAAGCACTCCATGGTTTTCTTGGACATGGTGTTAAAACTTCATTATATTCTTTTGATAGTCTTAATCCATATTTTTTCAAATAAACATATAATTCATCTGTACCTAAAACTTTAGCAATTTTAATCAATTGATCGAAGTTTGAATCACCTCTAAAGAATGGTTCTTTTTTAAATATAATAGCAGCTAACATTGCACCAACTGACCAAAGATCTAAAGAATAATCATATTGATTCAAATTTACTAGTAATTCTGGACCTTTATGATATCTAGATGCAACTCTAACGTTATAATCAACTCCTGGATGATAAAATTCAGCAAGACCCCAATCGATCAATCTAAGTCTTCTGTTGAAAGGATCTATCATAATGTTTTGTGGTTTGACATCTCTATGAATGATCCCCATAGAGTGTGAATAATCTAATGCAGTTAATAATTGTGTAAAGTAAAATTGAATGTCACCTCTTTTGAATTTTGCATATAATGTTCTGAAATCAACATTTTTAACTTCTTCAAAAATCAAAGCTGGAATTTTAGAATGTGTATCTTTAACAAGATCTAATAATGCAATAACATTTGGTCCACCTGTTAAATTTTGTAAAATTTTCACTTCTCTATAAATTTTCTTGATCTTGACAGGTTTTAGTACTTTAATGACACAAGGTTGATTATTCACTATGTTCAGACCTTGGAAAACTTCTGAATATTTACCACGTCCTATCTTGGATATGATTTCATAGTTTGATATTTGACCCCATTCTATATCGTAGTTTTCATAATCCCAATATTCTTTAGGTCTTTTTTCGTTAGCATCAGCGTAGACTCTAGCCACAGAATACACCTTATCAGATTTAGGATATGACATTCCACTAGCTTCTTATGTTATGGATCAGTGCAGTTTAAAGTGTGAAAAATTGTGGATTCTTTTGTTTATGGAAAGTTGCGTGGATTGATTGATTTTTTCCTAGATTATCAACAATCAACTTTGGAAAACAGCGGTTAAGGGCAAAACAAAACAATAGAACAAGGAAAAAACAGCGAAACAACAATGGAATTTGACAGTCTGAGCCTTGTATTTATATAGGAGCACGATCAAAAAGATATTCTTTCCAATTTTTGCAAACTTCAAAGCAGTAGTTTCAGCTGATTTGTAAGCCTTTCAGGTTAATAGGCAGCTTTTTGACACCAGACTACCAATTTTGAATTTTTTTTCGTTATGGTGTAAATTTGTAGGGTAAACAAGCAGGATCAAAACATCACCAAAAGCACTGAATTCAAATTTCAAGGTATTTGAAGGGAAATTGTTATCTGGGGAAGCGTTTAAGGTGTAATTACTGGCTTTAAACGTCTCTGTGTGTGTGTCTTGATAGTCTGTTTTTGTTCTTTCCAATCTTTATTGGTTTAGAATTGGATAATATCATGATGGAAGAAAGGTGTCTTAAAAGAATAGACGTATCTTTCAAAAATGATAATAAACCATTCCCAGAGTTGAAAGGGATTAAAGGTAAGTAATATCATTGAATTTCATTTCCACTATGATAATATATTAACATTCAATATAGATATTGAACTTTGGAATAGCAAGAGTAAAATAGTTAATGATCACATCAAATCAATATCCAAACCTCTGGAGTTTGTCACATTGGTAAATCCAATACATACACCAGTGTGGTCAATCATAGACAAGTCATATAATGTGTAAGTATTATATACTACTATTAAATATGGGTAAACTAACTTTTTTTTTTTTCAGTTTCACATCAAATGTGGAGACACTATCGTTCTTTCAAGATTTAGTCAATTATTCCAACATTGTAGAAAACATATCGAATTCTGCTATGCTGGTAAAGATGGGGGATTCTTTTTATTTATTATTTTATATTGAAGTGTTGGATGAGGTACCCAGAGTCAAATGTCTGGTGTTGGAGATAAATTTAGAAAAAATCAATTCACTGTTATCCATGGGTGATCAAATAATTTCAAATTCACCCTCATATTTCATAGATGAAGTCACTTCAAAGAAGGATGAAATGATTGATACTTTATTAAAACAAAGAAATGATCAAGTTAAAAGTTTAAAGATGCAAAAACAAGAAAGTGAAAAACTGGCAAAAGAACAACAACTACGTATGGTTAATATTCGTCAAGGCTTTAGAAGAATCATAAATAAAGAAGTTAAAAGGAAACTGGCCAAAGCATCAAAATCTACACAGATTGAAATAGCTGAGATTTGTTTTAGATCTATGCAATTTAAATTTAAAGGCCTTGATAAGTTAGACGATAAGGAAGAGAAAGAGATTAAAGAATGGTTAAAAGTGTTTTTAGACGTGTTGGGTGTATGATTTTTCAGAATCAATGAAGCTATTAAGAGATGAACTCATCATACCTAGTATTAATAATATTCAATAAAGTAATGAAATCTAATGATCTTGAAAAATGTTGATTTGTAGTGCTAATTCATCTCTTAATAGTGCGACAACCAGATATCTCTATGCTTTGTTTACATTTTCATGAATATCGTTTGGTTTTAGAACCTTGCAATCAACAACCATCAAAACCTCAAAATTACTGTGTGAGAATGAGCGACTCTACTAATAAAATCGATCCATATGCTGTGCTAAGTCGTCAATTCAAAGATCTTACTGGATCTGTCAAAAAATTGAAAGAAAATCATGATGAATTCAAATCATCTGTTGAAGGTGGAACTGTACAACAAATAACTCAAGAAGTGAAAACTGTGAATCTTGTTATTGAATCACATTCGGATAAGCAACAATGATTTCACTGATCTATTTCACTACACTTGATTTTAATTTTTCTTTTGAAGTGATTCTGATTATCCATATGACATATATTATAACATTAAAATACAAGAACAAATATTTGTTCAAAACAATAGTTCATTTCAGAATATAAAAAGACAAATTATAAAGAATGTAAAAAAAACATTGAGAAGCAGTGGTAATCAAAAAGCTACCTAAACAACAATGAATGGTTCTTTAAAGATTGTTTGGTAATTGAAAGTAACTTCTTCATAACCAGTACCTTCATCAGTACACATATCACCACCAGTAGGACCAATATGAGGACAATGGACAGAAGGTCTATATTCAATCATATTTTGATGGACAGATCTGCAAAAAATGGTATCTCTACCACCTTCCCATGATAATCCAAATCTAGTATTTGTTAAATATTCAACACAAGCATCTTTTGAATCATATTGAGGATAATCTTTTTGACAATATTTTTCATGAACACCACAAATTGATTCAACTAATAAATGTTGTAATTGCTTTTCACCTTCTTCTGGAATTGTAGTTGCTGAATCATTACCACTAATTTGTCTATAACCACCTAATTTAATCATTTCATATAATCTTTCCCATCTTAAAAATGATAAATCATATTGAGCAATCTCTTTTTTTTCATTTAATTTAATCCAAATGTTAATTGAGAATGGAATTTTTTGTCCTGCACCTGGGAAAGTTGCATTATTAATATTTGAAATGGTATATTGATTACAACTACCTGAAAAAGCATATAATTGGAAAGCATCTGAATAACCAATCAAATTTGTAGTGTTACTATCTTGTAAATCTGAAAATAGACCGAAAAGGTATTCAGTATTCAATTCTCTACCTTCATAGTTTCTAGTAATATCAATGCGACCCACAACATCTTCAGAAAAATAAGTACTGTTGATAGATTTAGCTTGCTTGATGTTATTTGGATATAAATAATCATTGGCAAAAGAAACAGCGTGTTGATATAACTCTTCTGAAGTGAAATAACAATTTTGTTTTGATTGGATATCTTTGATTTGTTTATTAGCTTGATCAATATATGTTTGATTTATTTGGAAACCATCACTAGATTGAGCTTGTGCAGTTTGGGAAGATGAATCAGCTTGAGCTATTGGTGAGGCAAAAGCATTGACTAATAGTAATGAACCAGCTAATAATGACTTGGTCAACATTTTGGAACTTTTGTTTTTGTTGATGAATTGAGTTTGAACTTTGTTGGTTTCTTTGATCAACCTTTATTTTGGGGATTTAACATTGTATTTATAAGAAGTTTTCGATTCTCTAAACATTTGAGGTGATTCGTAACAGACCAGTTGTGTAGAACATGTTCATAGAGCAACGTGAAGATCTTTATTACCGTTATACATACCAAATACCGTGTTTTGTGATTTTACGTCTTTAAGAATAGAAAATCTTTGCTCTATTGTAAGCATTAGCACTTAGAAGTTAGAAGGCCAACTTTGAACCTAAAAAGTTGATCTTCTATGATCAACGTATAGTCATGCACTTCGATTTAGTGACCCAAGAAAGGCGTTCTGTTTCCTTAAGCTCCAGTATGTTGGGTTAAATATCTTTTGAATATTATATGGTTTAACTATCAACTATATTACCAGCTCAATATTCCGCCAGCTGAAAGGTACTATGATTCATTACTTTGGCTTGAACAGATTGTACTATAGGAACCAGATGATAAGTAGATCCCATTCAAGATACAGCATTCTCAGATTAAACGATTTGGTGGATTATTTGTAGATTAATCTGAGATCCGCGTTTCAAAACAAGTACCAATTCACAATTCACGCTAGAAAAATAAAGGCCCTGTCAAATATTTGAAGAGCTGTACTTTTAATCATCATATACGTACTAGCTATTCAAGTGAAGTTTGAACATTGATTAAAATTCAAGCAGAACATTTTAGTTTCTAGCTTGGAAGATTGAGGCTAGTCAGATTAGACTAGTAAAGCATATAATCTGCCACCATAAAAGTACTAGGATTTGTTAAGCTTCAATATGGAATTGAAATCTAAGAAAGAGATCAAATTTATAGAATTCAACCAATTTATCGGAGCATGGATCTCAGATCTTGGTATTGGATTTGAAGTTCAAGCTTGAATCATGTACATGTTGGTTGTAGTCGACGTATAGTGAATCTACAACGTACGTAATCGGATTGAAAACGTTGGTCAAAGCTTGATGTGCAATAAGTTAAAGCTCAATACGTCGAAGACTTGTAGTACACAAATATATCATAAATCATGATATTGTGATCTTCAATGAGTGATATTATTTGAATTATTAATCGGATAGTTACAGTATTGTATCTATATATTCAGTGACTCCCAACATCAATTCCTGATCGCTAATTATGTTCTAACTTCTCACTAATTATATAGTTGTTCAATTTATATAGGTATTAATACCCAGTATTGATGAAGGTTTTATCATGATCATGCTCAAGCTATAACAGACTAATTGGCTTATGAATCATGATACTAGTCTATACAATATGAAACTAATTATTACTCCGCATCGAAAATATGTCATATTTCCTATGAATGATTATCGAATGAGTATTAATTCAGCTTCCAGAACATACTGAAAAAAGATCTCTGGACTCCTGGAATCTTAAGCTGCGCTAGAGTTGTAGTTGTTGGAGAAGACTTGCCGCTATCATGATGTCGATGCCTAACTCTTCAATTAGATGGCATCAGCTGCGCATGTATAAGTTCTGAGTGATCAAAATTTAATATTCGTCGTGATTTAAGAAATTGTGCTTCATCAGCTCATCATTAACCATCCCGCACAGCTAACTAGAATATATATCATCGCATATATATGATGTCATACCAAGTATTAATTTGGATCTATTATATATCATGAGTTCATTTGAGGTTTCTCAGTTGTCAATATACGAAGTGAACTCCACAATCTCTTCATGATCAATCAATAGCGCCTAATATATAAGTGAGCAAACGTATGATAGATTAAGGTTCCGAGTATAGGTACTTAGTCTATAGTCTGAAGCTACTGCTATAACACCAGATCATCAATAGCTTTGTCTCTAGGGTGTAGGTCGGTTCTACTATTGTACCAATTGTATCAAGAATATCAAAAATATCAGAGCTTATAATCAAGTTTTAATCCGTCGGCTATCATCGGAGAATTACATTTCCGACTTCCGACAAATCTCGCGATATAATTTATAAACTTTTTGACTCAGTCAATTATACTTTTTTGACACTTTCCTCGTGTAATCGCTCAATAGTACCTCAAAACAGAAATATATGAGATGATCACACGTACGATGTTTACCCAGAATATATACGAAAAAAATAGGGTGAAACCTGATATATTACGGAAAGTGGGAACAAAGTCATTGATGAATCGTCTATGACAGCTAATTACGTTTTACCTTTTATCTGTCTGTCTAATTGCGTGGACTAAACTGATTTCGAGAGCTACCGAGCGGCGAGGGCTCCACGATTAGCTTAGCCCGTCGTGAACTAGACGTAATCCTAGAACGTACCAAAGATAAGCTTAAGGACTCAAAGCTGATCAACACCACAATTAGCTAAACTCATGACAGCTAACTTAGTTGTTATAAAATGTGCTAACCCATTAGTATCAGTACAAGGTAGACTGCTTCTCGACTTTTATACACAACGTCGCTAGTTCTTATTAGTAGCTTATTTAAAATTTCTCGCTTGACTCTTTCGATATGTACCCACAAAATTCAAATTACATTTTGATTAACCTAGGGTGCAGAAAATACATCAACAAACGGCAACCATTCATCTATGGCAAATTACAATTCATTAAGACCATATTTTACCACTCCAAATAATATGCAAGACAACCGTTAGCCTCGAAGTCAAAAATTCCCAAAATGGACCTCTCCGATTACCAAAATGGAATTTAGCTGCCTATCGGTAATTTAGATAACATTGGATAAAATGATCAGCAATAGTATAAAACAAACAAAATCCGTCATGGAATGAGTTTTGAACCCTTGGATATTCATCGAATTCAATCAGTGATCGAATAGGATTAATCGTGATACGCATTGTTCAGCTTTCGTTTCAATAATGAACTTCAAATCTTTGTTAGCAGTTGCAACTGCTTTGATCACCGTTAATGCTAAAAAAATTTTCATTGATAACGATGGTTTAGCTTCATTAGAAGCTTTATTTGCAATTTCTGCTGGTTATGAAATTGTTGGTGTATCTTCAAGTTTTGGTTCATCCTCCCTCGTTGATAGTGCTGGTGCTGCTTCTGATGTTTTAAAAACTTACAATTTAACATCATGTATTCCAAATTATCTTGGTGCTCAACAACCATTATTAAGAACAAACGAAACTTTCCATGCTTGGGAAAACTTATTTGGTGACTTGGTTTGGCAAGGTGCATTTGACGCTTCATATGCTGATTCTCATAGCTGGGATAACGTCACTTATGATGATTCAAAAGCTGGTGCACTTGCTTTAATTGAAGCTGTTAAAAGTAATAAAGATAGTGATCCAGTTACCATTTTCGCTGCAGGTATGATGACTACTGTTGCTCAAGCTATTTCAATTTATCCAAACTTGGTTAAAGAAGCCGCTGGTTTGTATATCATGGGTGGTTATTTTGATAATCAATATGCTCAAGCTACCGGTAATTCCATCACAATTGATATTAACACTGATATTAACTTAATTCAAGATCCTGAAGCTGCTCAAATTGTTTTAACATCTGACTGGAAAGAATTAGTTATTGGTGGTAATTTCACAAACTATTTGGTCCCATCTCAAGAATTATATGATAAAATTATTGACAAAGCTGGTTCAATTGATTTGATTAGAAGTCATCCATACTTTTCTCAAGTTTCAAATTTATTAGCTACAGGTAATTACACTGAAAATAATGACCAACAAAAATTACCATTCTGGGATGCTGCCATTTTATTTGCTTTAGTTAATCCAGATACCATCAAAGAAACTACTGATGTTACCGTTGCTGTTGATACTTCATTTTACTCACCATATTATGGTTCCCTTAAATTATACTCTCATGAATGGGCTCCAAAATCAGGTTATAAAGTTGCCAATGCTACCATTGTTGACAAAATTGATGATGAACAATTTTATAACACCGTTTTGGATGTTTTCTTCAAAAATTGGACTCAATATTGTGAAGTCCATGGTCCTGTTGCATTAGAAATATAGATTTTGTTTCTATTAATGATTTAATTATGATTTATATCTTCTTCTTCCAAGTATATTGATCATGCTTGACGTTCTAAGTGATCAATCAAAAATAAATGTTTTATTATTTATGATAGAAAGCTGTTATAACTAAATCTTCTAAATTTATCAATTATTATGGCGCATTTGTCTACACATTTTCAATGGGATCAATATCATAATTAGTATATTAAAGTAATCATTAAATGTCATTAAATAGTGCTTTAGTTGTCCAATAAAGTAGCGTGCAACTAAAATTAAATATATCAGGATATTTTCTTTGTACCCTCTAATAATGTCTGTGCTCTTGAAATCAATTTCTCATCATCATCATCCATATTTCTAGATCTCGAACTTCCTGCTGTGCTTGTTCTTCTATCTACTGATACCCCTTTTAATCTCTTCAATAAGTTTTCTACCACGTCTTCTTCTTTTGTTGAGTCAAACTCACCATCTGTTCCAGCAGAGCCTCTTGATTGTGCCCTTGACTTTTTGCTCAACATCATTTCTTTTCTCTTTTCATAAATTCTTATTTTCTCTTCATTCTCTTTATTTTGCTTCTGTACTCTTTTGAAGTCATCAATAAATTCCTGAAATTTAGGTAAGAATGTCGCCCTTCCAATTGAGTCAGAAGGATTTTCACCAAAATACTTCATAAGTTCATCAAAATCTGATATCACAAACTTGTGTTGATCCTCCAATAATTGGTATTTTCTTTTAGCTTCAGGTAACCTTGGTAATACTTTTGTCAGAACTCTATCAACTGGGTGTAATTTCTTTGGATCACTCAAATTACCATTCTCCATTGAACTCTCAACATTTTTGATAGTTTTAACATAAGATTCAATATCCAAAGATAATTGTTCAACAGACAATTTAGCTGAACTTTGTAATGTGGATAATTCATCCATGAAATTCAAATACTCAGGATATGCACGTCTAATAACTTTTTCAAGATATTGTAAAAATGTATTTTGATTCTGATCCTTGATGAAGTTCAATTTTTGCAATGATGTCAATTTGAAGCCTTCAACTTGTTTTTTATTCATGAAATTACCAATCTCTCTGATCAAAATGAACAAATTCTTCAAATTCTTAGAGTTTTTGATCGACTTGATAGAATCATCTAGAATTTGGATCTTTCTGCTCAAATCGTAATAATCCTTTTCATAAGATTTTATCATAAGTAAGGCTCTTGACCTAGATCTCCAATAATGTCTCAAGTTAAAACAAAGCTCCAAGAATAATCTATCTGCTCTTTCTAGTCCACTTGGATCTAGCTGAGGTTTTGATCCGTTTAATATGTCAGTTGCATATGGTTTGAAATCTTTGGTTAATGTGACAGAGAATTCACTTAGTTCACTCTTATTGAAAAATTCCAAAACACTAATGTTGTTCATTATATCTAGATCACACTTCAAAACCTTTAAAATCAATTGATCTTCAGGAATACTTGAAAACATGTGTAAATTGATTCCGAATTGTTGAGAAAGGTCTCTGGCGATGAAGCTTTTTTTGTCACTTTTGGACACAACACTAGTTGGTGAGACCCTCTTGGTTTCTTTCATTGTGAATAAATTTTCAACTTCTTTAAAAATACCAAGTTCTTGTAATTCTTCGGATCTTGAATGGGATGGTTCACTCCATAATGTATTGTCAACTTGATCTACTTTCTCCCAGTGCAATTGCTTCAATTTTTTTGTTGGTCTATGAAGAGACTTGGATATCTCATTGATCTTGTTTTGTGTCAGAATTGATTCCAGTTTTTTGAAATTTGAGCTTTCCGTAGACTTTTCTGAAGCTTTTGTCAATAATGTTGGCAGTGGAGGCGGTGGTGGTGGTCCTGATGAATCACTAGATTTCTCGTCTTCTGGTTTATCAATGGCTTTTTTAATCAATTCTGTTGGTAACGGTGGAGGAGGTGGTGGCGGTGGTGGTGGACCCAGTGCTGATGGTGCTGATACTGTTTTCTTTTCAGTTAAAAATTCTGGAATTGGTGGTGGAGGTGGAGGTGGTACACTAACAGTTGCAATTTTTTCCAAAGCGGCTGGTGCTGATTTCAAAAGTCTTTCATTAAACATATCTGGTAATGGTGGTGCTGGAGGTGCTGGAGGTGCTTTTACTTGTGAAACACCATTAGTGATTGTGGATTGTCCTGACCCATTTGTAGAGCTCCCTGTGCTTGGTCCAGTTGAAACATTTGACGATGTAGAAGATGGTGGCTTATTTGATTGAAATTGAAGAAACTCTGGTAATTCTGGTGCAGCAGGAACTGAACTTGTTAATATCCTGGATAATTCTGGAACATGGTTGGAGTTTTCATTATCTGAGTCAATTCCAGTTGAAGTTGTTCTATTTGGGAAAGGTCTTGGATCTATTAAGCTTTCCAATGATGATCCAGCATCATTAATTTCACCAGTCGAGCCAATAGGACTTGACCCGATAATCTTCGATCCTGATAGGTTGGACCCAGCGTAAGACATTGGTTTTCCACCTATAGCTTGACTTGAATCATAACTCCCTGTTGATGTTGATGATTTATTTTCATTTTCTGGGCTGGAATTCTTCAAAGCAAAAAGTGACATAGTAGATTTTGACTTTGATAACGATGAATTTCTTGAAAGTGATGAGCCTCTTGAGAGTGATGAATCTCTTGACTGTGAGGAAGCACTGAAAATATTCCCTTGTAATATTGGAGAGCCCTTATTTCTTCTTGATAAGGTTCTCAGTAGGGATTCAGATGCCGCGTTGTGTGAGTGAGATACTTTCTGAACCGGTGCACTATTAAAAGAGATGGTTGCATTTTGTGTTTCCCATTTTTGCTTTTCGTTCTTTCTAGCAGCTCTAAGCTCTTCGACTTCAGCTTTTAATGAGTCTATCTCTTTGTCTTTCAGTTCAGATTTGGCTTGCAAAAGATCATTTTGTTTCAAAATATCACCACTTGATAAATTCAAACTTTCTTTCAACAATTTGATCTCATTTTGTAAATCCTCAGTCTTCTGTTCATATTGTTTTACCTCTGACATTGCTCTTCTAGTTATATCATCATTTGTCAGTTGATCCATTAACTTCTGAATGGCCATGTTTAACACACTGTCCGAGTTTTCATAATTGATAGATGATCCAGCAAGAAGTATATTTTTCATAATTTGATTTAAAAGTTTTAAAGTTTTAGAAGCAGCAGAAGTAGAATTGGATTCATACATGGTTATCATTAAATCCAAGAATTCGTTATTCAAATCTTGTAACTCTGAATTAATACCTGCTTTGCTGATAATTGATTTGATTAAAACATCAGCTTTGGAATCTGATAAATTCAGCTCCTTCAATACTTCATCTTCAAAAGCAGATTTTTCCATGGACTTATATCGTTCAATTTGTACATCAATATGTTCATTCATCAGTGTTTTGAGCTTATGGAAAAGGGGGTAAATACCAGCTTCTTTGAACTTTGCATGAATTATCTTCTTATCATTTATAGATTCAGCTCCATCACAAATTGAGATTATCAAAAACAAAGAGCTAAGAAAAAACTCCTGTAGAATATTATTAGTGAATAAATGCTCGTCTTCATCTGCTAGCTTTGTAATCATATTTATCCATGTCTCGAACAAATTCAGCTTGGAAACTCTATTGAAAACCTTCAGTAAGTTGTTTCTACCTAAGGGTGGACTCCAAAAACTTAACAGTATCAAGATATCAGTGGATATTTTCTTATTCATAGTCTTTGTGGACTTAAGCATAGTCTTCACAAAAAATTCTATTATAGCTGGTGTTTGAACAATAACATCAGTTCCTTTCTTATCATTAACTATATTCTTATAACAGGATACTATTAAAAACGTTCTTTCTTCATCCATATTTGTTGATGATGGATTAGCTATCTGAAGTAGCTCAAAATATCCTTCTAATTCTATAAATTCCTCCACGAAATCCTTACTTCTTAAACCTTTTTCAAGTTTATGTAGATCTTTAGTTGATAATGTTCGAAGAGTTGATACAAACCATGAGGCTGGAATACTTCTGGACTTTAGATCTGATGTGTTTCTATCTACCAGCGATTTATCTTGACAAATAAGTATCCATTTTCTTGAATTGGGTATTTTTCTTAAATTGGCCTTTGCTTCTATTGTAAAAGCTCTTCTGTATAAAAACTTATCAAAAAGTGATTCAACAATATCATCAGAGGGTGGTTCATTCTGATCGTAGTTTAAAAATTCATAATCTATTTGAGTTGAAGAAGTTGTCCCTATGGAGCCGCTGGTTTCCAGTGAGCTTAGACTTGGTTCTAATTTGACACTAACGGTGGCTTTACTGGTCTTTCTTTTTAAACCTGTACCCACAATATTTAACCCCAGATTAGACAGGCTCTCTCTTGAATGTTTGTCATTACTGATTGTTCTGTCTTGAGCATTTGACTGATTGTTGAATTCATTTGGTTCTAGATGCCTCAGTGGTGTATTTGAATAATGAGATGTGACACTAAATGGTGATGATGATCTATGCAACGAATCTTCACTAACGTTTTCCAGCTTGGTAATATTATAACCACTGGGTATCATTATAAATTTAGATGTATGTGAAGCACTGCGAGCAGCTGGTAATATGTATTCTAGGTGTTCTTTCTTTGAGTTTCTAACCGCCCTTCGTACTCTGTATTTTGCTTCAACAATTTCAAAAATCTTATTGTTATTGATCCTCTGTTTTGAAATTTTGATCTAATGTAAACAAAAAATTCTGAAGGTGAAACTAAATCCGCGACTAGTATAACAAAACGCGTCTAGTAACTGCTTGGAACTTAGTATTGTGAATCTCGAGGTATATCAGGTGATCTATCATGTGATTTCACCCTCGATTTTTAATAATTTCGCAAAAAAAACCTTAACCAGGCCATGTAAAATTTATTATTTACAATTGCGAAAAATCAGGTCTAACTAGGCTTGGGACTGAAGACTTAAGACTTATAAAAACGAAAAATCTAAACCTAGTGACCTACGTATTGGAAATAGTCTTCATTTCAGTAAAAGTAATTAATATAAGGAATTTAATGAAGAATTCAAGTTCGTGTTTTGATAATTCATATTAGAAAGTCACGAATCACGGTCCATGAAATATACTACCAAGATACCAATGACTCTGCATAGAAGTTAACAATCTTATATGTATATATATATATAAAAACTCAATTACATTTCTAAGCTTTAATTCGGAATTCTAGCAGTCACAGACATTCTACATCTAGGGTAGATATAGACAACTTACAAATTTATATGAAATATATAACAAGTGGGCAACAAGTGTAAATAATTAAATTATATAGTACCATCAACAATATGATCCATCAATTATACATGTCATTCATCCAGATTCCATGGTATCATGTAACTTTCATATCAAAAATACAGCAGTACTTTTTTGTTTACAAAAACAAAAGTACCTACTAGTAGTGGAAGGCTATGCAGTTTGGTGTAGTATAGTTCATCATATAACGAACATCATTGACTTCAGAGTCGAAAGATCATGCAAATTTTATAGAAACAAGGAGCCAGGTCTAGTAGAAAGTTGAAACCCCCCTAAAAAATTTCATCCCGGTGAAAGTTCCCAGCTAATTAGGTTATAAAGGATGATTTGGGGAGAAACTACTCCCTCTGGAATTATTCCAATCCAGCATAAGTTTTAACTAGGATAAATCAAGTATCATTGAAATCGTGTTTGTCAAAGAAGGCTATTGTGTAGTTGCTAGAAATGTTATCTATTGTAGATCTAATCATCAAATAGTTTTTAGTAGCTACTTATGATTATTGATCAAACCATAACCTCAATGTAGTTCATGGATCTTGGTAACGTCTGCCTAGAGCTAACTTCTAATCCAAGATCAGGTATGTCTGTTATCTCTGCCTAGAATCCTATTCTTAGCTATGTCTTAGCTCTCTTCTGTCTAGCGCCTAAGCAGTGAGCTGTCTGTCTAAATAACTCTCCACCAAATCCGTGTTATCTTGTTTCCGAATTTGTACCTGAACTGGAGCGAAAAAAGAAGTGCGCTGTGTTGGCCTTGCTAGGAGTCCTCGCCTTTTTTTTACAATTTCCAATTCTGAACATTTTGAGAATTCCCATCAACAATTTGATTTCAACTTGAACTTCTTCTGTCTCTTTATTCTCTCCAAAAAGACTTCAAGTTTGGAAGTCTAGAGATATCAAAGAGTTGATCCAGTACCACGCTCGCTTCATTTCTTTCAAATAATACACTACCCAACACACTGTTTGTTTTTTTTCAAGGAGCTGGCTCTTATAACTACTATTTATTTTTTTTTCTGCTTTAACTTGAGAATTTCTGATTGCTATAATTAGATATTAAGCAGTTGAATATCCATCAATATCACATAAACATCAACACAAATTAGCTAAGATCAAATATTAGCGTTTAACCAGAATTAAAAATCATGGGTGCAAATTCAACTTCTATTGCAGTCGGTTGTGCCGTTGGTATTCCATGTTTTATCGCATTGTGCGTTGCCTTGGTATTTTTCCTAAAAACTAGAAGAAGATTTCAAAGAGAAGACTTGGAGTATAGTCAAGATGTCAATGATATGGATAAAGATTTAAGTTACACTAATATTGACCAATTAAAATTGGAGAAAGAAAATAATTATAACTCAAATTCAGAACCATCAGAAGATTCTGATCAAAGTAGACAAAATCATGACGGAGATGAAGAAGTTGAAACAAAAGCATCTCAAGATCAAGGTTCTCAAAAACAACCAAGATATGTTCCAGCATATAGAAGAAAATTCAAATCATCTGTTAGTAATTTGAACAGTTCAAGAAACTCATCATTTTCAAACTTACCAAATAATGGATCAACCCAAAAAGACGGGTCAAATTCATCAATAAATTCCAATACTACAAATCAAACAGATATGTTTTACAATAACATTCCATTAATGGATCAACCAAATGCTAATAAACAAGCTGAATCAACAAATAATAGTTTGGATTTAGCAAGATCATTACAACAACCAACACCATCATATTCTAAAAGACCAGTAACACAAAGAAGCTCATCAGTATCGAGTGCAGGTGATGATGATTATGATTTAAAGAACAATTATACTGTGGATAATGAAGATGAAATTCAAGAAGAAGATCAATATGAAAATGAATTTACAAATTATAGTGAAAATAAAAGAGCTTATATCGATAGTTTAAGACCAAAATAATTATTGAGAAAACTCCACTGAAGTTTAAAATTTTCAAAATAGAATTTTCAGTGTCAACAAGAAACAATAGAGTTTTTTAGTTCGTTTTGTACATTATAACAAGATTATATATCCTCATTTATTACATCAAAAACAATGACATCCCCCCATGATTGTTAACACTAGTCATGACATTCACTTACATTTTCATTACATCAACATCAACATCAACACTTGTTTTCATCACATCCTATTGGTTTCCAGTTTTGTCTTTTAGTTCATGATTTGCTTTTTTTTTCTGGTTTTGGTTTTGGTTTTTCTTTTTGACAAAGGGCTCAAGATTCAGTCAATTTTTGAGCTTTTAGATCAACTATATATATAATCTTTTGCTAGAAGAATGATTATCAATTCAATACTTAATATAATGATTTTATTAGTTCACATATATTATAATGTACAATGTACAATGGCAATTTCAAAATTATCGTAAATACAGTTTTATTTCTTCTATATACACATAAAATCATCATAAGCTATTTGATTAAACAGCAAAATCAACACTTTTATCAGCTAAAAGATCATATTTTTTACCATCAACTTCTAAACTCCATTCATGAATTAAGAAATCTTCTTTTCTACTATTTCTATTAGCAACTAATTTAATGGTACCTCTATTCTTAGAACCTTTAACATCAAATGTAATATCAACAGCACCTTTAACTTGATTTAATTCACCACTAACCCATGGATATAAGTCTGCAAAATCAATTCCACTACCAAGAACTTCTCTAATAATTTCAGATCTTCTCAAGAAATGTAATGTTGTTGTAACAACAGGTGAACTTGTCTTCTCATAGTTAAACATCACAGCAGCCGAAACAAACATCAATACCCAGAACCCGACAAATTGGATACGGTTTCTAGTTCTATCTTTGAAAGGGTCAGGTAATTCTCTGTCTATAGTCATTGGTCTCTTCTCAGGATTACCTGGCTTTGCTGAACTTATACTTGATGTAGTACTTGTAGTGGTTGATGATTGATATCTGGCCAATGAAACAACGGATCCAGCTGGTCTCATCGCTCTCAATGGAGTCCTCAATATAGGACTCAGTATTCTGGTTCTCATAAACATCTCTAGCTTCTTATTATCCCTGAACAGTCCTATGTTCAAGTTGATGTTGGTTTCTCCCGTTAAAATGTTGATATTACTCTAATTTAAATTTTTCCAACCAAAGCCCAAACCTTTTCGCGGGAAACTTTGTAGGGGGATTCGGGAATTCTCCTTCTGCCGCCTGGCTAAAATCTCTGCCTAGCTGTCTGCCTAGCGGACTGCCTGTGTTTTCTGTGCCTAATTGTTCTCCAACAATTGAAATTTCAATATTTATTGTATCTAAAGATAAACAAAAACATTTTGATCTTTCAATATCCACTTCTTGGTTCATCAACAACTCTGAATTTCCAACCAAAGAGGCCTTCTATCATATATTCTACTGCTTCTGATTTTCAAAATGACATTGGTATGTTTCCACTAGGGTGTTCTCTTTTCAGAAAGTTATTATTAGTTCACTAACATTTCAACCTCCAACAGTTAGGTAAAGCTTTCCATGTATCAATCGATTTAGTGCTAGTATCAACTGCTTTAGCTGGTATCAAAAGAAACACAGGTCTCACATTAAAACCAGATATAGCTGGTGATGCTGAAAAACAAGGTTATCTGAAGAAATATCTTGATGTTGGTGAATACGTTTTTGATTATAGTGTCGCCTTCATGAGCTCATCAGATTATTTTGCAAGAAAGTGAGGCGCCCAATAATATAATATAAGAGAAATAATTATCTACAATTACAATAATACTGTGATTTCAACATTAGCATGATCAATTTCACATGCTATCAATTCATCAAGATTTAAGTATCCCTGCTACAATAAATTTGTTATTATAATAATATTGATATTTCATTAATTAATTAACTCGTAGTTGAAATCATAAACTATATTAAACCCATAAATATATAATACAATATTGTTAAGCCCCTCAAGTGTACCGATACCTGGAAGCTTCTATGAAGGATTAAACGGTAATATACCAGCAAGACCTTCAATATCTCTCATATCCTCTTTAAATTCATCTTCTTCCAATTCATCATCTTCACCAAAAACACTATAATATAAACCAATATCACCATTATTAGGAGTATTTGAAGCATCAACAGGCCTATTAAACTGATGAGCGTGGCCTATTTGTTGTTGTCCTCTATTATTACCATTGTTATTAGTTGGATTGGTAGCTGTGGTGTTGTTCAAACGACGATTATTTGTAACTTCACTAAGACTTCTCATAGTTTCCCAAAAATCTAATTCATCTTCAAGCTCATCTTGGTCTATTGAAGGTTTTCTATATAATGTTGACTCATCGTCCAATGTATTAACATTTTGACTTAATTGTGAAGTATGTCTTTGTTTCCCTCTGCTATTATTACTTGATCCTGATAATTTTCTTTTATGATTGCTCCTACTTTGGTCTTGATGATGTTGGCGATTTTGAGGATTTAATAATCTTGCTAAATCATTTTCTTTAGTCATTAAAGTACTTGAACTTCCTAATTGTGGTTGAACCATTGGTGGTAAATAATTAAAATGTGAATATCTATTTGGTGTTATAAGATCTTCACCAACATTATGTCCTGAATTTTGTGAAGTTGTAGATTCTACTGGTGATGCTCCTTTACCTAATGAATTTGATTGTGCATAATGATGATGGATATGTTGATGTATTGAAATCTTTAAATCATATTTTTTAGCATTTTCAATTAATTGTTTGGCAAGATCTGTAGTAGATATATTACCATTTGATAGTGTTAAACCAGATGTATCTTTTAAAGTATATTTCCAATCCATTTCTGTTGAATTTGGTTTAGGAGATTCACCATTTCCTGGTGGTAAGTTTGAATTAGATGTACTGGCAAATGAAGATAAAGAACCATTTATATGATTTCTGTGTGATTTTTGTCTGTTATAAGAATCTTGATTGGATGTTGATGTTGGTTTATCAGCACCACTAGAATTATCTGATGATTGTGTTTGTCTTTGTTTCTCCAAATTTTCATTGATTTGTTCAAGAGCTGAAAGACCACCTTGAATACTATCTAATTCTTTTTTAATGTCTGGTGATGCTTTACCTCTGACAACTTCTGTAACAATTTTTCTCCATCTGTTTCTACAAGTTAAACTTGGTCTGCTCTTCATTTCTAATGAAATAGTACGCCATTTTGTTCCATAAGTTTTAACTTTTCTGATAAGTTGTAGGTCTTCATCTAATTTCCACGGTCTTAATCTGTCTTTTGTATTTGGATCTAAAACTTCAATGTAACGTTTGGCACATTGATCATCTGTTCTTCCTGGTATTTCAAGTGAAATTTTTTGCCATGATGATCCATGTTTATTATAAGACAATAAAAGACTATCGTCTTCTTCTTTAGTCCATTTTCCTTTCTTTAAATTAGGATCTAATGAATTTGTCCATCTTTTTCTGCAATCTTTTGCTTTTCTTGTTTGTAGTATTTCACCTATACTTTCCCAATCTATTTCTTGAGGTAATTGAGTTTGATTTACATCCCAGCTCTCTAAAGACAGTGATTCGATACCATGTGGATATCCTAACTCTATTAGTTTCTCATTAACAAGCTCACTCAATCTAACATCCTCCTCCTTAGTCCATGGTTTTCTTGAATCTCTTCTAAATGTAGTATAACCTAGTGACTCAGTGATGTCAAGAGGGTTGATTTGTATTGTTTTTTTCTTTTCAGTCATTTACAGATGTACCTGGTCTAGTCCACTTTGCAACTAGCAGAATTTAAAGGTCTTATAATCAAGTTATGATCAGAAAACAACTTTATCTAATATGATATATTGTTTATATACATTTTTTCCATAGATAAATTTTAAGTCACATAATTTTTTTTTTTGATTTTCTTCTTCCTTCGTTGCTCGGGGAAACATAATCAACATTGACGGTTGAGCTGGTTAATATGGGGACAAAAGTGACATGAAGATTTAAATTTTAGACAATACAACGAGAGAAAAAGTGTATTCTTAGAGGTTATATTAGGATGATAACCTTACTTGTAAGCCTAGAACGTTTGTAATCGGCTACTTCAATATATAAATTACACCATATTTACACTTGTATTGTTTTCAAATCTGTATATACAAAGTTCATGCTACCAAATATTATACACCGTGTGATATATTTATAAATGGGTTTCATACTATGAGCGTTCGTCATATTCTAATTTCTTATCAAAGGTCAAAGAAATTCATCCAAAAATATCATACTTTAAAATTAAAATGGCTTCAAAAATCAAAATATTTCACGTCCACGTCCAAAATCGTAGAAACTTGTAAACTGTCCACAATGTGATTTTGCCCTTCTTTCTTCAGCTTCAGGTAGCCAGCTTCTCATATTCTGTATTCTTGTTTCAGTTCCTGGATGTGTTGACATAAATTCTGGCTGATGAACCCCACGACCTTTTTCCCAGTTCGCCATTCTTTCCCATAGTTTATAAGATTCATTTGGATCATAACATGCTTCAGACATCAACATTAACCCGATATAATCAGCTTCAGTCTCCATTGCTCTTGATGCAGGCATTTTAATGATAGTATTTATCAATAAACTGTTGAAAAAATCAGCTCCTGTCAATGCATATAAGAAAATACCTAATGCAGCATATATCGGGGTTTTAGATAAATTTTCACCAGTATGTCTAGCCAATTGATGGGCGAATTCATGTGATAAGACAGTTGCTAATCCATCATCATTTTGACAAATGTTTAAGATTGAACTGAAAACAAATACTTTTCCTCCAGGGAGAACGAAAGCATTTGGTGGAGCACGAGGATCATTAACAATATGAACTTTCCAATCTAAATGTGATTCATCAATAGGACTCACTTTTAATATTTTTTCGAAAACATTGGAGACTTTGACGGATAATGGATGGTGTGGAGGTAATATATGTCCTCTATTTTCTGCTAGTACTTGTCTGTAAGATCTATCTCCAACCCATTTCTCTAATCCTTCAGTTGACCATATGAATCTTCTTCTTCCTGTAACAGGTGCTTCTTCAAGATGTGTCACATAGAATACACCACCAAGACCTAAAACCCCTGCTGCATATTTTCTATACGTTGGATCTTGTAGAATATTTGAACTTGATTTAGTATTATTGAATCTCTTGTATGTAGATGCCCATCTCATCGAGGCCTTGCTGGTTCTTGATGCTTGTGAACCAAACTCTTTGGCTCCTCTAAGCCATATACTTGTGAATTTGAACATTTTTGTTCGATGTGCTTGTCTATAAGATGCTAAAGATGTCAAAATATTAAGATGGCAAATATGTAAAGTTTCGTTATAGTCAACGTTTTCAACTAATTCATGTTCGGAGCTAAAAATCTGAAGCCTTCTGGAAAATTCAAAAAAAGATTCTACGCTTTTAATGGAAATAGCTTATGTAGGACACAATTTCGAGCTCACGAATCGCCACTTAATCCACAAGAGCGTTGTTTCAACTAAAGGATATTTCACATAATGGGTAAAGCGGAATTCGGTACACCCAAATACTTCTCAAATCAAATGAAGGCCAGGGGTCTTCAAAAGCTAAAATTTTATTGTCAAATATGTGAAAAACAATGTAGAGATGATAATGGGTTCAAAAGTCATACAAGAAGTGAAAGTCATCTCAAGAGAATAAAACAAGTTGATTCAAGCGTTATTGATGATTTTTCAAAACAATTTCAAAGTCAGTTCTTAGCAAATTTACGTTCGCATCATGGTGATAAATCTATAAATGCCAATCGTTTCTATAATCAACTTATTCAACAAAAGGATCATATACATTTAAACTCAACTAAATGGTCTTCATTGTCACAGTTCTTGCAGGATATAGGTAAACAGGGCCTCATAAATGTCAACGTGGTTGATGAAAGTGATCAAAGTTTGAATGGTGTTGATATATCATACGTAAATAACTCGAGTGATGAAATTACTAGACAAAATAATTTGAAAAAACATTCAGAAGATGAAAAAGCAGAGGAACATCTATCGATGAAACTGCTGAAGGATCAAATAAAAAAAGGTGAAGAACTACGTAGTAAAGAAGAAGAGGAAGATAACCCAGAAGATAAACATTTCACAAGATCAAAAGATGATGCACCTATAAAGATAAGTATTGGTGCTAAAAAGGATCAACCCGCCACCAACATACCCAAAAGAACTAACGCTTTCAAAGTAAGTAAACCTAAACAAGGTGCTAATCCACTAAAAAAGAACGTATTAAAATAGATCAATATACAAAAGAATGAGCATAAGGTGATGTTTCGTAGAATTGTATATACAAATATTTTAGTATGGGTTATAACTATTCAAACCAAATTCCCTCCAGGAAGCTTTATCAATCCTACTTTCAACGTTGATTCCAAACTTGGTATTCATTAACTTCAACGTACCAGCGTTTATATCCATACCATGAAGGTATAAATTTTGTGGTGTTAAATATTGTAAAAGTTCTAAGAGTTTATAACCTGAAGCTTCGTTGAATGAAAGATCCAATAATTTCATATGTCTTACTACTTTCTTTTCCTTCAAAGCAGATACCATTTGGGTTATTGCGTAATCGCCAAAATCGGTTGCTTGGTTTAGATAAAGGACTTGTAAATTTGGACACCATTCGAAAAAATCATCAAAATCAAAAAATCCACCATTAATGTGGACACGAAATGGACCTTTTTTGAATATAATATTTTGACAATATCCAATTGAAAGTTGGATCAAAGAGTTACCGCAAACCCTTAAAATTTTACCTAAGCCTTGAAATGATATTGATGAACCTGTTAAATCTAAAATTTTCAATTTCCCAAAAATCTTGTAGAGATAGAAACTATCAATATTCAATAAATGTTCAGAATATCGAACTTCTTTTTCTCTGATTGCCAATTTCCTCAAGTTTTTAAACTCAAGAAGATCATGAGATTTGAGAAAAGTAGCTAAATTAAAATTATCATTATTCTCGAAAACAAGTGATTGGACATTTGGAACATTTTGAAGAAAGTTGAATCCAACATTAGTATTATTCAATGTGTTAAAATCATAACCAACAATTGTTAAAGAAGTAAGATTTGGTATTAATGAGACTCTTGTGGTGAAAAGGTTTGAGAATGGGATTGATGGATATTTTTGCTTTAAATCACCAACCAATGTTAAAGTCTTGAGATTCTTATATCTTTGTAATATGATATCATATTTTTTAAATGACGAAGGTCTATTATTATCTGGTGCTCTAGTGATTTCTAAAGATTCAAGGTGTGGTAATAAATCAAGTAATTTTTCTTCTGCTTTCGGTATCATAACACAAGTGATTCTTAAGTTTTTCAATCTTTCAAGTCTCTTCAATGATGATCTATTACCTTGAAGACATTCGACCAACTGTTCAGTAGTAATATCAAGAAAGTTAAAATTTAAAGAACCTGTGTATATCAATGGTGATTTGTTGAGAACGATGTTCATAATTTGTCTTTCATCCATTCTCCTTATGGATCTCATTTGTAAGCTATTCAAGCTCTTTATTGATGATGACCTTCTTGATTTTGTTAAAAGTTCAAAGCAAGATTGAACATGTTTTAAAGTAGCAAATCTTGGAATAACAATGTCATTGAGTAAAAGTGGTGATCTTGACAAAGTCTCGCACCATAACCGTGATACTGTGAACGATCTTATTATATCCTTCAAATTCAATAAGCTAAATACTTCTGTTGTGAGTTCCAAGGGAAGCCAAATAAGTGGATCTAATTGCTTTCTTTCCTCTTGACTTTGAAGATTACTTTGGTTTTGGCTTTGGCTTAAAGTTGAAGTTGAAGCTGAAGGTGACTTCTTGAGTCTTTTTCTGTCTTGTGAAGATATTGGGTCTTCTAACATCTTTCTTGCAGTTTTTATTTCAATGGGGCTAGTTGTATTGGATTTAGATTGTTTATTAGCCTGATCAAGCTTGTTTTCTAATTTTTGTTTCTGTTCCTTTAGATATTGAAGCATATTAGGATTTACTTGAATTCCAAACTTTTCAATGCCCCTATTAATTCTTTCGATGCCCTTAGTGAATGTGTCAAAAGCTTTTTTATCTTTCTTCATCATTATCAAAATCTTCCCCGTTCTTATGTAACCTTTGGCATTATATGGTTCAAATGATACAGCTTTAACGCTATCATCAAGGGCTAGCCGTAGATTATCCGTTTTTTCATACGCAGCTGCTCTTGAGTCCAAAATGGTAGTCAGCTTTGGATGATTGACTTTATCTCCATCTTTTAAATAAGCTGGCCTTGGTTTCAACTTTTGAGCAACTCTGAGCTTGATTATTGTCTTTTGATCTAATGCATGTGCAACTTGGAGAGCTTTTGTGTAGAGCTTTATTGCGTCTTCATACTTTCGAAGCTTGAACTGTTTGTTTCCTATCTCCAATGCCTTACCAACAACATCTTCAACATCTGACATGGTCTCCTGAAGCTTGAGATCAAAGTTAATTAACTAAATTTTCAAAGTGTAAATAAAGCATAAACGCGTTTCTCTGTATATGGAGTTTCACGAAAAATGTACAGCTTCTACTTTTAAACTTACTTTCTTCCCACTAACCACGTGAGTAAATTTTCAAAATGCATAGTAAACAACATATTAGTGGTAACTAAACCAATCTTCCACTACGCCCCATCAAACGAACCACGCCTTCAAAGAGCTATCACCAGGATAATCAAAAGCTGGCTTATACTCCTTTCACAAGATTATAATAGACCCAATCTGCTCTTTCAAAGCTCCAATTTCAATAGGGCGGTCTTTTTTATCGCAGTTTTCATTTCACATTTTGCTTGATCTCAAGACAGAAAACATTTCATCTCAATAAATATCATCTGTATTTCCAAACATTGAGCTCACAGCAACATAGATGTACAGCATATAATCAAATATCAAGAATCATGGTTTTAAGTAGGCATGGTAATAAAACAAGGTCATGGTTGTTGCTGTTAACGCTCTTTGGTCTTATAACATTTGCTATTATTGGGATTTTATCGAGTCAAGAACACAATGGTGCTGATGCGCCTAAATGTCGTCCAATTTACATGTTCCCATCGTATGCTAAAATCAATGGATTTGATACGCATCATTCAAAATTTGCTTCAAAATATAATCTATTTCTTTATCGTGAACAAGGTAAGGATAAAATTCCAGATGAAGATGATAAATCAGGTTACATTTTAGATGGTGTACCAGTCTTATTTATACCAGGTAATGCAGGCTCTTATAAACAAGTAAGATCAATTGCTGCTGAATCTACAAATATCATTCACAATAACAAAGAAAATATTTATTATCGTGGTAAAAATTTGGATTTTTTTGCTGCTCATTTTAATGAAGATTTTACAGCATTTCACGGAAGAACAATGCTTGATCAAGCTGAATATTTGAACGATGCTATACGGTATATCCTATCTCTTTATGAAGGACAATCGAATCCGCCACAGTCAGTTATACTTGTGGGACATTCAATGGGTGGTGTTGTCAGTCGCCTGATGTTGACTCTTCCCAATTATGTTGAAAACTCCATCAATACTATAGTAACATTATCTGCACCACATGCTGCTGCTCCAGCTACTTTTGATGGTGATATTATGAGAGTCTATGGTGAGATTGATAGATTTTGGAGACAAGGTTTTGATTCTGAACATGAAGATACAGTACCATATCAACGGTTGCAAAATGTCTCCATTATTTCCATCACCGGTGGTCTTTTGGATACAATTTTACCAGCTGATTATACAACTCTTGATGGTCTAGTACCAGATACGCATGGTTTTACTGTGTATACCACTGGTATCCCTGGTGTCTGGACACCTATTGATCATCTTGCTATTGTCTGGTGTGACCAATTAAGAAAAGTAGTTGCCTCTGTGCTACTAGATGTTGTTGACCCATTGAGCCCTTCAAGAACTTATTCAGTGAATAAAAGGATGAATATATTCCGCAAAAATTTACTTTCAGGTTTTGAAGAATATGCTAAACAAGACTTTTTAAATAATGATGAATATGATGAGATTAAGATCAAAGCTGAAGATTTAGAGATTTCAAATGGTGATTCTACGCTGCTAAAATCAAGTAAATCCCATATCATTGATTTGAAAAGGGTTTCTAATGAAAGTGTTTTCAATTTTATATCATCCAGTCAACCATCAACTCAGGATAAAGGCTCTTATTTGGCTGTCTGTAACAAAACGTCTGGATTAGGGAGTGAAACTGTTATCGAACCAAGAGGAGTTTCAAGCTCAGATGATACATTAAATCTTGCTTGCAAAAGTATATCAAAGGATGTTTACGCTATTCCTAGATCAGCTGGTGATCTTGATGCAAGTGAATCATCATTTGGCGGTAATTACTCACCATTTTATGCTGCACAGCTAGACTATTATTTATTAGAAGACAATGACTTTGCTCTATATTCAAAGAATAGTGAGTCCTCAAATGATGATTTCTCAGCATGGAGTGTTGAAATCAAGGAGAAAAATACATTCCATCTTCCATCCAATATTTTTTCATATTTATTTGGAACAACCATTGAAATTCCATCTTCAAAATCACTTGTTAGAAATATTCAATTTGATTCATTAAAAAGTAGCTTATTGGGGTACAAGGTCACTTTCAATATCAATAAGAAAAACTCACAAGTTTTTGAACCGTTGGCTAGACAATGGATTTCTAATCCATTTGAGACTAAGTGGCATTTGAATTTACATGAAGATAAAACAATATCATTCCATGGTAATGCTCCGTATACACCTTTCAAAAATAAAGAGAATCCATTACACCTTCAACTTTGGGCCTTATTCAATGATAAACCTTCTTCAATCACAGTGAAAATTGATTTATTACATACATTGAAATTATGGGTGCTCAGATATAGATTGGCTGTTGCTTCATTACCAATTTTCATTATTACCTTGACATTGACTTTACAGATTCTACAGTATTCAAAGAGTGGTATTTTTATATCATTTGAAGATGGTTTAATTCTTTTAATGAGATATGCATTCCCAATTGGATTTTTTGCATCTATACTTACTCCATTGGCATCAAATGAAACAGTTCAAAAACTATTATATTTGATTGATTTTGTCGCAATCACCAAGCCTGAAGAATTGAAAAATGTTCATGTTGATCCTTATTTCTTAGGTATTCAAGAAAATTATCTCTGGATTCTAGGCCCAATATTTTTGACAATTGCTTTATCATTGGTCTATACCGTCAATAAAGCTGTTCAACTGCTTGGAATTGGTATCACCTTGTTGATAAGATCTGTAAAATCACGTTTCAGTTCAGAATTGAATTCAGTGAAAGAATTACAAATCCCAATACCTAAAGACAGACTACAAAATAACCGCCGTATTGTTGGTTCAGTTTTATTACTTGCATTTGTTGTGTTTTATGTTCCATATCAATTTGCTTATGTCGTTTGTTGTGTTGTTCAAGGGATTGTTTGCATCAAATCTGAAATGAAAGCGCATGAATCATTCAAAGAAAAGGAAGCGTCAATTACATCATCGAATTTTTCAAACTATAACAAGTCCTTATTTGTCTTGATGTTGTGGATTTTACCAGTCAACATTCCTGTTTTGGTTGTATTCTTTCATAATATGGCCGTGAAATGGGAAACTCCATTTTCATCACATCATAATATTTTGGCAATTTTACCAATAATTCTTGTTTTGAGCAAACACGTTAAAGGTGAGATAATACCACAACCACAGTTCAAGTTACAAAGAAGGATTACAGTGGGTATTTTGATTTATTTCGCCTTTTTCTCCTTGGTTTATGGAGTTAGACATCTTTATTGGTTACATTACTTGCTCAATGTGTTTTTCGCTTGGATTTTTATTCTATTCTATGAAGGCTCAACTGATACGAATGCTCAAAACAATTGATTTTATTCTTGGTTTTACTTATACAATTCATAACTTTAAATAGATAGATTTAGTATATATTAAAAAAATATTATTATTATAATTTACAAACCGATACATAAACCTTAAAAAAACAAAGCACAAAAAACGAAACCAAAGTCCTTTTGCAAGATATATTTTATATCTAACGATATAGAATGACAATAATTAATAAAACCCCGTAATTTAAGTCTAAACATGATCAAACATCAGTGTTCTTGAAATCATTATTAATCTTATGTGTTGTTCTAGAAACATATTCATCTTCTGAATCGGTTTCAACTTGATCATTTGCAAACCAATATCTTTTAGCTTCTTCTTCAGCAGCTGTTGATGGTGTGAATAAATCTTTATCATCAAAATCATCTTCTTTAATGGCCACATTATTTGGAATTGATGAAGTTGAATGAGCATCATCTGCAAATTGGTTCTTTCTGTAACGATTAAATCTATATGATTCAGCATCTTCTTTCAATGTTGCAGTTCCTTGATCTGAATTGAAAAATGATGAACCTTTAATGGTTGATGGGGTATAAACATGGTAACCAGATGAAGTTGGAGTTGGTGCATTGTTAGCACTAGCAGCCCACATTGATGATAATGGTAAAGATAACGCAACTAACATAACAGCACTAGCAGGTAAGGCAACAATCTTGAAAGCGTTTAAAGCATATGAGAAAATAGTCAATATAGATGGAATTATCATAGTTTGTGAAGACATGATTAATAAAATATGGAAACTATCAAATTGTTTTAAACCTAAATATCTTCTTGATCTGATAGCCATGATTAATTTTGTGACAAGGATTAAACTCATAAAGTTGATTGAACAAGCAAATAAAATAATTTGGGCATCATGTGCTTTTGAATTATCTTCTGTACTTTCACCTTTAAACATTTTAACGATTAAACTTATAGAGTTGTAAAATGTAATACCAACAGTAGCTAAGGCTGTTAAAAATGAAATACCAGTGACTGACCAACCAACATTTTTACCATTTGGATGATTGAAAATTGTTCTAATTTGGAAAACCATTGAAGCTTCAATAGTTAAAATTAATAATGCTTGGAAAATATTAGCAGCTGCCGAAACATTTAAAGTATTATCTGTTATAATCCCCTCTTGGATAGCTGTGAAATAGAATGTAACTGAAGTGTAACCACCTAATAAATAAGCCAAGTATAAACCTGAATGAATAACCATAAATAATAAAGAAAGTTGATTTAAAATGAAAACTGGGGTTTTTCTATTACTTGAAGTCAAAAAAAGAACAATCATTGCAAGACCACCAGCACCAATTCTTGTTGAGAAGATAAATCCATTTTTCATTAAAATATGGAAATAATGATCTATATCAGCAAAAGTTACTTGAGTATCACCATAAGCAGATGTATAGTTTAATAATTGTAAAGCTGGATCAAAATCAGCAGGAAGTTCTATTGGCGAGTAATCCATCTTGTATAATTGAATTGAACGATTGAAGTTTTTCAAATGTATTAAAGATCGAAAGCTTTTGATTTGAATTGAAATGAAATATCTAGATAATTTGAAGATAAATGTGTTATATAAAACACATTTAATCATTATAAAATTCGAGTTTTAGAAAGAAAACTATGAAACCATTTTGTAAATAGCCCCATTTGATTAAAACAATCGACCACCCTGAAGATGAGGAAACTTTTTCTCACATTATGTTTACTTTTGACATAGATTGATAAATTAGATGCATTACAGCTCTTGAAAAATTTCCATATTGGGTGAAGACAATGGAGAGATCCACTGCAAAATTGAAGCACATTTGTTTTGGGATTGCCTCAAATCAAGGATCCAAGCGAGCACTTAGAGCCAGAAGCAGCCGAGATCTGGGTGTGTCTTTGAGTTGTGTGATTTGGTGTTCTATCATTCAATTATAAATGTTTGTAATAGATCTCAAAACTTTTATCACCTTCAATCAAAACCAATAATTCTTAGACAAAACGCAACTAATCAGCTAATCTCAAAGACAAGAACCTCAAATATATATCTCTTTCCATCTCATGATAAAACCGTTATATTGCTCAAAGTAATAGCGACCTCATTTGGTGTCATGAAAGCTTTTCTAGAATGTCTATCAGCTATAGATCTTTATTTTTCTCTATGTACTTGATTTTCTAAAGTTCGGAAAAATGCAGATGTTATGTAATCTGCCTGTCATGATGTGCCATTACCAAACCGTTAGATTCTTGAAAACTTTATGTGGTGAGCTTCAGATTTATAAAGATCTCTTACTTCTACAATATGATGAGAAATTTAAGATATTAATTATGAAAACATTAAAATATATAAATTGAACTAAAGTATATTAAGAGATATGAATAATATTCAGAACAGTATTAAAAATATGAGGCAACCCAATTTCAACAAATATGAAATATAGCCAAAATCATAAAGTGGTTGATGAACCCTTAAAATGTCCATCCTTCTCATGGTATATTGAACAGTATGAATTAATTGTATACCAGATCATACAAGAATATCTATCAATGGTAACTGTATGGGTGGATATCTAGAAGATGACAGTAAAATGAAATAAAAAAAAAATGAAATATTAAATTAAAATGAAACAGAACCCCATGTTGTTGATGTTTGTTGATCAACAACCCACAACTCTTCCAACCAAAATATGTAAAAGAAATTAAATCAAAATTAAATTAAAAATAACCAACTAAGCCCCTCTAATGAAATATATTACAATATGTTTTTATGTTTTTATGCAAATTTGTATAAAAAAATTCAAAAACTTTGGTTTTAAATAAAATGAACGAAATGAAACAAACCAGAACTAAATGTGATACTCTAATATGAAATTATTATTATTACTTTTGAAATGAATGATGAAAACTTTTAAACGCGCATTGCAAATTCATAAATATGAAAACTTTCCTTTTCTTATTATAGATTAATCATAAAAAACATCTTCTTCAGTTTCAAATTGCCTTATTTGAACCATAGTATCAAAACTAACACTTTTTCTACCATGTTTTTTATCACTGCCATCAACGTTTGTACAATCCCTAAGATTACCTTTTGATAATAATGTTGGTGGGGCATCAAACTCTAAATAACCCAAGCATGAAGATCTTCTACTTTTTTTCAGTATTGGTCTAACATTTGAACCTCCAATCTTATCCATATAATTTTCATCAAGTAGAATTTCATCATTAGCAACACCAAAAACTTCATCCTCTTCATCAACAGTATCCGCTGTACTGGCGCTTGTCATACTGCTAAAACTATCAGTTCTTGCTGGAGTTAATTTATTTTCATTGTTAACTTTATTATGTTCATATAATGCTTGACGATTCAAACTTTGGAAATTTTCATTCAACTTGTATGAACTACCAGCTAAAGGACCATAAAGCCATGTAATATCACAATCTTTATACCAATTAACTTCTTCAGGTGCTAACTCTGGTAAATTACTTTTAATTTTGCTCCATTTTCTCCATAAGATATTTTCTAAACGATCAATATCTGTACTTAATGGGATATTATTGACTGAATTGACATGGTTTGTTTGACGTATAATTTTCCAACAGTTGTGTAATTCAATTTCATCAAATTGGTATTGGAAATAATCAATGGCAAAATCTGTTATTAAATGATCATTTGAACTACTTAAATGACCGCTGGATTTTTTAGTCACAATATTATATTGGTCATCATATGAATAAACCATCTTGTCTAGTGTAGCTAATTGTAGACCCACAATAAAGTGTCAACTATTTGATATAGCCGCTGTGACCTCTTTGTAATTAAAATACTTTAAAAACCCGTGTTTTGAAGAAAATCTGTTTATTTATATCAAATTCTCAAATTGCACACTGAAAATTTTACCCCAAGATCAGCCGAATACGAATGGACTTTAAAATGACTATGACTTGGTTAATCCAGCAAAACTTTCCAGCGAACATCACTACGAAAGCGCTCATAAAAAATTAAACCTGCAGTGTTCCGGGGCAAACTAAAGTGCTAACCTAACTCATTGCTTTTAGCCGGTATGCAGAGACTGCTATACTCCATCATCTTCCACAACTCCATCGACTCGATTCTAGGATCATTATATCATGGTTTTAAACTCAATATGTCAATATTATCATGTCAAATTACTTGAGCTTGAGTTTAAAGCGTCAACTACTCAGAGGCTAGAAACAGTGTTTATCAAGTTATTATTGTAAGAATGTATCAACTGTAGCTTAGTACATCAAAATAGGAGAATACCTATAGTTGGATTATCTAGATTAATGTCATGATCGTTCATGTAGACTGTACATGTTTTAAAGATTCAGCTAATGAATGATGGTGGTGTGTATCTCATCCTCGTTATTCCGATTCTGAAATCAGTCAAAATGTCAAAATGTTGAAGAATTTATTTCAAATTAGGAAATGGAATTCTGCAACGACCCTATGTTGTGTGTGACAATTACAATTTGCCTACCCTAATCGAAACTACAGGGATCTTCACCGATATCCCGCTGTCACTTCAGGGGATCCTTATTCTTCCTAGAAGCTTGGATGTACTCAAATTCCTTTTTCAGCCTACAAACTAACCTCAAAGCAAGATATCACAGCGCCTATATCATAAAGTATAAACTCAGTCTGTAGATGATTATTAGACTATAATTTCTAAAGTGGAGTGTCTAACTTTAAGGTTTTGAACAAGTATTAAAACTAGAGAAACGACCCCTATATTTGATGCAAGAGAAGTAATTTTATTATACGGAATCTGGAGTTATCAAAGCTAACAAATTTGAAATTTCAACTTCAGTATAATTATTACCTACATGTACATCTTATCAGGGATATTGATTATGTACAAAATCATATTCAAGTGTTAACCCCAGTAAATAACTTCATTAACTCTAGATCATTCAAAAGTTATACTTATATTAGTTTTGTGTTGATTTTGGGCCAGGCGTTTTCATAAAATATTTATGTCACCAAAATCATCACTATTCAAACTTCAGTAAGTTGCTGTCTAGCAAGAACTACTCCAATAACTCAATATGATCGAATATTGATCGGATATATTAATCGAATAATAAAATTTGAATATATCTTATGTACCTTGCTTCAACTGAGTCGAAAGAATATTCTATTTCTTGTATAGTATAGTAATTTGAACAAACGTCAACAAAGCTTATAATACTATACGTGCGTATATATTTCTAAGGCTTGACCTCCAAGTTGTCACTAAAGTTTAATCATAAATTTTAAACCTTAAATGCTTTAAGCTAAGTGTGATTTATTTTGTTTGCTCAAATTGACATTTTCAACTTTTCAACCACATCGTCGTGGCAGTGTCCCTTAAAAATAACCAATATCGGATTAGAGTTTAAAAATACTAACGTACTGGTGATGATAATATTTTATTTAAACTTATGATTTTAGTGACACATCCATTCTACCTTTCAAATATAATGTGACATAATTAAAGCTAGTATGTGATGACTCAAGCGCCTACATAATATGCGGAGATTAGGATGACTACGCATATTTTCAAATTCAGACCCTTCAATCAACCTAACAGCTTATTGATCATGACTTTGAGAATCAGTTGTGCATCTAATTGAAAAGTTAGTAGTATATATTGTGCTTTGAGTTGACAATTAAAAAATTGGTCAATTTTCTTGTATCCGAATCTTTCCTGTAGTACCGAATTGAATCAAATACTCGTAATATAATGTAACTAATTTCATTTTGGATGCTTGTGCAATCACTTTCCATGTTTGGATCCGAGCACCAAATACATTTATCAGATATATACGGTAGCCGTCAAATATCTATATACTATAGATTGTTTTTGTTTATATTCTAGAATATTGTAAATCCATCATTCAATATTAACTTAAAGCGAATTGGAATTCTAAAATTGAGCAAGAGTATGTATGTAACTTGAAAGATAGTTCATAAAAATAGTCTAATAAGTTATAAGTCATACCTAGGATTATCCCGGAACGTCTAAAGTAATTAAGGCTCAAATGGATAGCATATTAACTTCTTTCCACGTTGTATAAAATATTCCCGAAACCTATTCTTTGATCTACGTTTATTACATGTGGGATGATGGATCTGGGGTACAATGGAAATTTTGACTCAACCCAGAGGAGTATCACGTGACATGGCTCAACTATTATAATTATTCAATTCCGTTTAACATGCTAAAAAATGGGTTAATTAAAGTTTTTAATAACTTTATATAACATTTACATCTCTCTAATAATGATGATATAAATATTTTGCTCAAATTCAACAATTAAAAATTTTGGATTTCAAGTATAGTAAATTTAAAAAGATGAAATAAAATTTTAGAGGTGCCCTTGTTTTTTTTTTAATTTTAAATTATAAAAATATTTAATTATTTTTTAATTAAATTATATATATATAAGTTTACAATATAATCTAAATTATAGAAACCATATTATCTCTAACTTCCAGCATATATATAATACATGAATCATAATAAATTATATTGAAAAAAAAATTGCGTAATATATGACTAAGCAAAATAATTACAACTGGGAAAACAGTAAGTTTCACATTTTCAGAACTCGTCCTTGTTAGCTCAGTTGGTAGAGCGTTCGGCTTTTACAGTCAAACTAGGGAACACCATTTCTTAGCGGAAGTTAACCGAAATGTCGGGGGTTCGAGCCCCCCATGAGGAGTTCTATTTTTTTGCAATTTTTTTTGCCGGGCAGCATACAATTTTTTTTTTTGTATATATGGAGTTATTTTGAAATACGATAATTCTTCACCATGACTTTCAAGTTTTAGTATCATTCATAAATTTTTTAAGAATTACAATGACAGATTACGAACCGCTAACTTCAACAGTTAGACCTCTAACCCAATCTATTATAACAGTCAGAATCATCAAATCATTTCCATATAGAAATGTCAAGAATTACATTTTGAAGGATTATGATATCTCATCAAAGAAACCAAGAGATCTTTTAGATGATATAGTGAATAAAATCAAGACAGAAGGTGGGTTGAGACCATATAGAACAGTCAATTATGATTCTTTGAAGATATATACTCATGCACACGGATCAAAGACTATGAATTTGGTTATAAATTTCGAACATGACGAGGATTGGTTTTTGGATTTGAACTCTGAAAATTCTTTACATCAATTAGGTGTTGGTATGTGATTTTTTTATTTATATACACATAAGGAGTGACATAGCTAACTTTTGATTCTTTAGACAATGAAACAGAAATATCATTATTCAATCGTGAAGCTTATGAGGAATTTAAGAAGAATCCAGAAGAGAAATGGTAATTGTGGTAAAATCGGATTGTTGTTTGAATCTATCTATAATCAATCGAAAAGAATAATAGAGGACTGATACTTAAATATCTGAAATGAATGATTGGATTACAGCAACAGCTGGCTTTTTAACATAGAATGATGTATATACTTTACTTCATAATTAATGGTCATGGAGATATATTTGGTATCCTAAAGATAGTACTCATGTACACCCTATGAAACGAAACAATGTGTGCTTAATCATCACCCATAAAATCTCATATTTAAGATATATTATTCCATCTTGATGTAATTATTTCAACCTTGGCTTTTACGTTCGGTTGATAAAATGCTTGTAATTGTCTAGTTAATCTTTTCTCTGATTCCTGTGTTATCAAATATTTTGTATTTGTTTTTTTTGAAAAACAAAAAAACAAAACACAACAATAAAAACAAAACATCTGATTCTTAACCATTATAGTGCATTTGAAAGGTACAATTCAATAAAATAGAATATCAATTGATTATATCCTTGATATCGAAACTTTGCTATAGGAAGAAAAATCAGACTCAAGTTGCTTCATTCTTAACATTATCTCATATAATACTTCAATTTTTTTATTATTCCAACTTAACGTGATTTATTAGTATTGAACAAATGGCTACAGATTACATACGGCTTGGTTTCAAAGTTCCAACTGAGATAGGAGAAGACTTCCTCACTATATATGACCAGAATGCTAGATTTTATCTAATAGCTAAGGAGTTTGCGGGTGCACATAATCAACCATTAACACAAATAAACCTCAAGTTGGGAGATCAAAGGTTAGATATTAATTCAACTCCAAGGCACTTACAAGCTCACGACAAAGATACGGTATCAATAGAGGCAAAATTTTCAAGTATATCAACCCCGTCATGGACATTTGCAAATGCAATTACCAAAGCCATAGAGAAGCTAGAAGAGGCTAATCCAAACATCACAATTATTATCAAGGTAGAGAATTCCAGTGTTTGTGTTGTATTGAACATGAAAAGGACCGATAAAATATTTGGATTAAAAGAAAAGTTTCAAAGAGCTACTGATAGAAATGTCACTTCTATTTTAAAGGTCAATGGTCAAAACTCACTAACTGAAATTAATGATGAAACAATTTTGAGCAATTTGGAGTTAAGTAATGGAATAACTTTTGAAGTACAACATGATGGTGAACCTTTGACATGGGACAGAAATTCGCAAATGGACTCAGACTCCAAAATACCCAACCCAGAAGGAGAAAATAGCAAAGATATTTCAAATTCTGGAGATCAAGAAGTGGCTTCAAGTAGTTCCAGCTCAAGAGTTTTCGGAAGTATATCCATTACATCCATGCTCGAATCAAATGATGAAGACGGTGATACAATCATGGAAGGTATAAATGACGAGGAAACAACAAGTTTGATTATAGGGAAAGACCCATCAAACAGTTTGAACAGAGAGAAAGCAGATCAAAACAAACATGAAACAATAGACAATGTACTGGTATCATCAACTTTGAGAGGAGAATCACAAAATTTACAGAATCAAGATGATACAAATGATACTGAAATTGAAAACGCTGTCCAAAGTCAAAATTTAGAAATAAATATTGATCAAAACATCTCAAAATCAACAGACATTCCAGTAATAGAATCAAACACTAGTATAATTGACGAGTCAACAGATTTTCCTGCTGCTAATCAACAATCAATTGAAAGAAATATTGAAACACCATTAAAAGACAATAACGCTCAAACATTTTTGGATAACAGCCAAGCGTGGGATGAGAATACCATATCTGATACACAAACAAGTACAGAGAATAACATTGGGACGCAAAGACCACCAACTAATGATTTATTAACGTTCGAATTCAAAGTTACTGGTACCGATTTCGAAGAATTTTCATTTTCTTTAGGTCAAAATGAAACATTCAAATCTGTTTTGAATGATTTCAAAAGCAAACACCCACAGAATTCAGAAGCTACATTGAGGTTTTTAAAAAGAGTTATCGAACCTACTGATACTCCTAATTCAATAAATGCTTCCAAAAATCAGTCAAATGAAATCAATGTGTTGAATGCGGAACCAGATGTGGTAACATTTGTTCTTACTGATACCAGTAACAAATTTAGGCCAGTATATTTGAAAGCCAAATTAAAAATTAAACTAAAGAAGGTATTTGAAATATATGCATCGAAGAATAAGTTGAATTGGAAAGAGCTTACTTTCAAATTTGAAGGGAAAATTTTGAAAAGACATGATACTCCCTTGATTACAGGCTTACAGAACGGATCAAAAGTTGAGGTAATTCTACCACAAGAAAGTACGTAAATCTTATATTTATGATAAACTATGGTTCAAGATTTGATTGATTGATAGTAGCCTACAAGAGCGCAATTGTAGTAAATAAATAGCCAACAATATATGTGTAATTCAAATTTATTGAAACTAATATTATTGTCGAACTTGATAATATATAGTATATATAATATATAGCTTATAGCTGTACATATTTTATACTATATATATCAAAACATGGATTGAGAGTTAGTGGCTTCACTGGAGTTAACTTGCTAACATTGGAGTACTGGTGTTGACTAGCCAATTTTTCTTGAAAGTAAACACAATTGTATAGTACGTGTTGTAAGGAGCAACAACTAAGATTAAAACATTCAAATTACAATTTAAAACTAGAAGGATCTAGCTATTTGTTCTAGCCGTCTGCCAAATTCCGGTTTTCGATAATTTTTAATTGCGTACACCATACATACACTATACATTATACACCGCGACTCTTGATGTAAAATTGTAACTTCTTCTTTCGGGCACTTCTCCCAAACAAAAAAAACATGGGCGAAAAATTTCTTCAACTTCTTTTTTCTCATGAAAACAAAGCAACAAAGATCACCAAACCCCACTTTTCCATGATTTGAAGTACAAACGCATTAGTTACACAACATTCAACCTGTAGCCACAAGCTCATCATCATCTATCATCTATCAACTATTCAAATTGTATCTGATATCCAAGAGATCTTGAGTTCTTCACCTATTTCATTTTCAAATTTCCCCTTTCAACCATCACATCATATCACACGTTACAATCAATAAACCACAATAAAATATCACAGTAAATTACACAAAGCAAAACAATGTCAACCAATGGAGATATCACAGCTAATGATGTTCAAGACTCTGATACAAGTACTAGGGTTGGTGATAAAATCAAAATTGCATTTCATGGTTTAGATAATAAATTATACTTTGCACTAAAACCAACAACTAAGTTAAGAAAGATTGCCGAAACATTTGCTGAACATGCTAATGTTGACATTGAAACAATTAAATTTTCGTTAGATGGTCGTACCATTTCTATCAATTCAACTCCAAGAGATTCTGGTATGGTTAATGCTGATGTTGTTGACGTTACTTCTCAAACAGATGGTGGTTATTATTATTGCTGTTAATTTAAAGATCAGTAAAGTTTACTTTCAAGAATAATGCTTAATTATTCCCATTTTATTTTTTTATTGTTTATTTCTAAAATTGTTGCTGCTTCGTTGGTTAGTTTGCTATTTGAAGTCCAATTGGTATTATTATATCGGATATACTTGAGTTAAGATATGGTCATCTATCGTCTCCATGATGTTCTGAAGATGAAATGGCGTTTTCGGGCTTAAAGGGGCCTTTAAATGAGCATAACTTGATTCAAAAGTTTCCGATCTTAAAAATTAGGATTTTTGCATAATATGTAAATTAGAGCTTATTTTGTTCGTGTTAATACAAAAGCTATTAAATTGTTACAATGATATCTTATAGATAAAATATTCAAAAAATAAACTTTAAAACAATTATGCTATTCTATTCCAAATGGACTCAATACTGACTGAGCACATGTTAGTTGGTGGACTTCCGGTCTCAAATTTCACTTGTCAAAGGTCAGATTTGACAGATTTTATTTCATGAAAATAAGCGGAGGCTATGGATTCAGATTATAGCCATTTCGATTTAAACTTATATCTAAACGCTACAACATTAAAATGGGCTTCTTCAAATTTAAATTGCGAAGATTACGCTTCACACCACACAGTCCAGTAACCTCATTTTGCTGTTTTGGCCATCTATCAAATTTATATTTGCAGTACGAAGCTAGTTCTAGCATCTTTTCGAAGAACTTCAAAAGTAGGTAATGCCACACATTTTCTGGGAAATGAGGTTTGAAATATTCCTATCAATATTATGGAGACCAATGTTGCGATGAACGGAAGATCGTCCTGATGAATTATCGCGGGGTTTTATTGATTTTCCCTGTACAATTTGAAAAGCTCAAAAAAACTCATCAAATTTAATCTTTTCGCGCCCTGAATTTACCAGCTAAATCACATTTTATGTTGTCTTCAAATGGGTCTTTCCTAACTAGGAAGGTAGTGTCCAAACCATACTTATCGCGTCTTTTTTTGGCGTTTTAAAATTTCGTCGACGCGAAACTTTTAATTTTTTGTATAATAATTAAGTTACCTAAAGAAGAAGTGATGAGTTCAATCTGAAAAAATGCATATCATTAGCTTTTAAAGGAACTTTTTCCAAATTGAAACAAATAAATTACAGGTGGAACTTTCAATTTTCAAATCAAATTTCATATTTGGGGTTTGATTATTGATACCTTGGAAACAAAATTCAAATATCTTTAATTCTTCCAACACCAGATTTTACTTCAACACAGCAACGATCAGATCCAATAACTAAACTCAATACGAATTATCAGGGTTAAAATTGATTCAAATAGATTTTATCTTCTTGGAATTCACTCATTCATATCTTCAATCCTGTCACCATTACTTACTTGGTCCAGATAAATAAAGAGATTCATTAAATACAGATTTAGGGGTTTACCAAGTGAACAGTCACTGATCACCAGCTCTTACTCTGAGATAGCTACACATGACGTTATTATATCCAAATTCCAATTCATCAACAGTGAAGTAAGTGATTTCTCTTTCCTGATGTTTACTTCAGAATCATGTTTACTAACACATAAGCGCCAGCATGGAGTATTTTAGTCTTTCACAACAATTGGGTGAACAATCAAACATTAACCAAGAACATCCAAAGAAGCTCCCTGAATTTTCTCATCAGATCACGTTCAACAATACCACACCTCCACAGAAGCGCCGCCGTGGAAGACCTCCTAAATGCCCAACTAGTTCAGATGACCAACCAAGTCCAGCTGCTCATTTGTCTGCCGCTGTTGTTAAACAAGGTACACCAAAAGCTAGTGCTCCACTGATGAGAATATCACCTTTAAGGGGTGTCAAAAGAAGAGAATCAAATAGCTCTCCACCTCAAAGATCTAAAGAAAATCCATCACCAAAGGGTGGATTAATCATGAAACTGGATGATGAGATTGATAGATCTCCAACAAAAAAGCAGAAAAAAATCAATAGCACAACATCATCAGCTGCTTCCAATTCAATTCATTCTCTTACATTGTCTTCAACAACACCAAAATCTAAAATCATGAATCCCAGAAATGAATTCAAGACTCCTAATAAAGTCACCATGAACACACAAGAAAACATTCATTTGTTGACAAGTGAAGGTGGCTTGGAAAAAGTTATCAATGAATCTGTCAATCCAAGTCTTTTGTTATCATCACCAATGTCTAGTGTTAAAAGAGGTTCTGGAGTTAACAGTCAACAAAATAAACTTAAAAGTTCTGCTAAAAAGGAAAATCAAAAATCAAACACATATTTATCATCATCTCCAATGACCCCAAATTCATATGCTTCTTCATGCTTTTCATCAATCATTCAATCATCACCTCTATATCAAGGTTATTATGCTAATCAATCATCACCAAATCCATTATCTTCAAGTCCTATCAAATTTCAAATGAAACCAATTGATTTACCAGATATCAAAGGCCAGTTCAGAGAACCGCCAAAAGCTAAATTACCAAAAATGGAAAAAGTTCCAAAAAATCCAGTTAATTCACCAGTTTTAAAGCCTCAAGCCACTTCAAATACACCATTAAACGCCTCTTCACCATCTAAAAATGAATATAAATTAAGTTTTTCAATTGATGAACATGGACAAGCTCAAATTGTCAAGGTAAAGACAGAAACTAAAAAATCCATTCAAAACACAAATTTACCAAGACCACCATTCACAAGACATGAATCTCTGATGTCTATAAAACAAGGCTCTTTTAATTTACCAAGAACAGGGTCTTTATCAAATATCAATGAAGTAAAAGAATCATCAATATCTATTGGAAGTGTTTTGAGTCCAAATTTATCATCCGAAGATTATGAGACGTTTATTCAACCTTCACAAATGACTTCTGATCCACTGGTTGGTGATTTTAGTCAAACTTTTGATCCTACTCAAAATACTGATTTCATGAATGATGCTGGTGTTCATAATCAAGATGAATTTGAAGATGAAAGTGTTACACATGATGCAAGAAATGCATTGATTAAGATGATTCGTCGCAGTGTTTAGTCTTTGTTTTTGAGGACTGGCTAGGGAAAATATAGATTAAAATATCATCATTGATATTCATTGAGGTATAAAGATTACAGGTTGGTTTTAATATTTTTGATTGGTTTTTTTCATTTCTGATTTATTCAAATGTTCAAGTTTCTTGATTTGATTTGATTTGGTTTATTCACTTCATGTTGCGTGGGTTTAGTTTCATACGTCCAGTATTTTAGTTTTTAATTATTTGTTTAATTCGAGTTTTATTTAAGTTTTATTTAAGTTTTGTTATAAGTTAAGTTTATTTAGTTCTAGATTTAAATATATCTGATTATTTTTGATCAATCTAACAATATGTAGACCAGAATCAATTAGCTAATAGCTACTAGTACTTATAACACTAGAGGTTGAAATGCTAATAAATACCTTATTAAAGATGAACAATCTCATCGACAACATAGAATAGACAGAAGAATTAGCATAATTAATACACGAAGTATTATAAATCATTTTCAAATCACTAATTCTGCTATTTTGCTTTCAAGTGATTTATATTAAAACATGTACAGATGATCAGTAATAATGAAAAAATTAGTTTCAAGTCTACAATAACATTAGAAGCATAAAAATTTGTATTATAAAATTATAACTATTCAACAATCTTCATTTAATTATACTGAAAAACTAGAACGAATTCAATACTGAATTTATTCTAAGTCTTTTTTCAAAGTACCTAAGAAAGCATGTTTTTCAGCTGGGGTTTGGAATCTACCTTTACCGAATTTAGAAGCAGTATCGATCCATTTTAAGGTAACTTGTTCTAAAGCTCTTCTTGAAGTATCAGTGTATAATGATTTTCTTAAAGTAACAACTCTCTTTTTTGGACCTGGGATAGAACCTTTTAAGATAACGAAATCGTTTTTAACTTCACCGTAATGAACGAAACCACCTAATGGAGTAATAGTTTTTTTGGTACGGTCAAATTCAGTAGCAGCATTGGCTTCATCATCACCTCTACCAACTCTGTAAACTTTGTGGTTGATTGAAGTTCTTGAATGGTAACCATTTTGACCAGCACGAGCAACAGTCCATTGGACATGGGATGGATGCCAAGCACCAATACAAGCAACTTTACGTAAACCTCTATGAGTTTTACGTGGTAATCTGGTAGTACCCCATCTGTGAGTAACACCTTCGAAACCATGACCTTTGGTAACAGCGATAACATCAATGTTTTCATTTTGTTCAATAACTGAATCAACTGAAACAGTTTTTTCAAAGTGTTCTCTAGCCCAGTTAACTTTGTCAGCAATTGAACCACCGTTAACTTGGATTTCAGCTAAATGAGCTTTCTTTTGAACTAATGGAGTTTTTTTGACTTGAGTGTGAACTAAAACTCTAACAACAGTAGCGTATTTGGTAATTCTAGCCAATTCACGTTCAATTTGTTCACCGTTTTTGTTAGCGTATTTAGCAGCATATTTGGTGAAAGCCTTCTTTTTGGATTTGTACCAGTTTTTGTAGAAACGACGTTTAATTTCATCTGATAAATGTTCAGCCCAGACAGTGGTTAATGATCTTAAACCTCTTGGAGTTTCAACGTAACCGACAACACCGACGACAACAACTGGTGGAGTATCAACAACAGTGACAGCTTCAACAATTTCACGTTTGTGCATTTTAGAACCTGGACGGTCTAAATCACGAACAATAGTTGACATACCAGCTTTGTAACCTAAAGTAGCAGTTAAATGAACTGGTTTGGTTTTGTCATCTCTTGGGAATGATTTAACTCTACCTCTGATTGAGGCAGCTCTCTTTCTTGGTAAGAAACCTAAGGAACCGTGACGTGGTGCTTCGTACTTTCTGTGAGACATGATTGACTATTTGATTTGGTTAGTATGTTTTAGCTGGTTAAACAATAAAGGTAGAAGATAAAGTACTGAAAAATTTGAAAAATTTTATATCTTCACGATTTGTTGTGAAAAAACTTTTCAGGCGTAAATTTCAGAACAGCATTAAAGTAGGGCAACTGCTCGAATTTCTGCAGCTGCAGCTGCTGCTAGATCAGATTTGTTATGGACACTGTTAGAACTTAGAAGAGGCAGATTTTGACTCCGATTTCGCGAATCCAAATGTGCAGACCGTGGACGCCTAGTACGATAGATTTTATGCTGTAGTCTTCATGGATTACCTCTTAACTTCAATATTTTGTTGAAGTATACTATCCTCTTAGAAGTTAAGTATTCAATGTTCACAAGAACGAAACAAAACCGTTATACAAAACGTTCGTAGCCTTCGTGACTAATAGTGATATAAAAGATAATATAGTGGTGAAATTGCGTTCTGTCTCTATTACGGGCAAATAGCGTAAAACAGATGGATGTTGCGAAGTCGCGTAAAAATGTAAATATAGTAGTTGAATAGTAAACAAACGTTATACATAATTTATCTATGAACATTGATAGCTTATACGTCGTTACATATACTCCATTTTTCATCAAGTCATACAAACTTCAGAATGTCATTACCCCAAAGGATTAGAGAAAAACAAAGAGAACTTGAATCATTCCAACAGATGGACCAACTATCATCAAATTTAGCCACACAACTAGAACAGCTTGAGAACAAACTAGAGACCCTATCTAACGGATCTGAAGGTGAGTATAACTTTAAAAGAAGCTTAGCCTATATATTTATAACTAACTCAAAAATTAGCGGTGGCTCTAATAGTATCTAACTGGAATAACGTTATAAAAGCTGCATCTTTGGCGTCTAGTATGTTTATTGTTTTACATTATCCAGAAATTGATTACTAACTTTAAAATTAAGTGAGTCTACCAACCTTTTCAGCAGAAGATTTTGAGAACAAAGAAGATCCACCACTCCCAGAAACACTAGTGAGATTGAGAATAGAGGAAGACCAATGAATTAACGCCAAATTTATACACAATATTAATGATTAGTTTATATCTACAAAATTGATGATTAACTTTTAATGAATGATTTATTTATAATGTACAGTATATTTTTATTCTAATGAGCACCATTTTGTTCAGATTTATTCGTTACTTTCAATGGTTAATGTATTGTAGTTAACAACTTCCAAAGCCCCACTTCTTTCATGAGATGTACCTATCAAAGCTTTGATCCATTTTTCGATACCCAATGCCCTCAAGTTTTGAATGACTTCATTTTCATGAGAGAATTCTTGATGTAATTTAAATACTTCATTGCCACCAATATATTTAAATCTTGAAAGTAAGGCTTGATCATCAACATCTTTGAGTAGTTCATCTATATTTGGTAAAGAGACACTATAACCTGCATTAGGCAAATAAAGTTTATCTTGGAACAATTTTTCAAGAGTCACAAACAACACGGTTTCTTCAGCTTTTTCTTTGATAAAGTCATCTGTCTTATGAGTCAAGTTTAAAATGTGTTCCCAATCGTCACTTAATAGTGCCCTCTTCCAAACAAGTTTTTCAGACAGCAATTTTTCATCATTTGATAAGTTTGATAAATGTAAGAGCTTCAAAGCATAGAAATGATTTGCTTTGTTATCATCATTGGTACTCAAAAGTGTAAAAATATCCACCAACTCTGAAACAGATAATGATTTATTTGATAACAACCTTCCTAAAGCCCTTTTGAATGAATCTTCAATAATGGTGAATTGTTGGTCTTTATAAAAAGGTTTAAGAACTTCTCTGGAGATTGAGTCAATTTGAGCAGATGGATCACTATCGGATCTCATAAATTCTGAAAGTTGTGTAATTGCAATGTTTTGAACTTCCACATAATCTAACTGTTGTTGAATATCATCTAATAATACATCATTATGATTATTTCTTCCTTCATCACCGATTGCAGCTAATGCTCCCAATTTAGCGATACTTAATTGTAAATGTCTCTTTCCTTGAGATTCATCATTTGTCTGACTCACATCATAAAGAACACTTGAAGCTTTTGCGAAGTCACCATCTAAGATATCTCTGATCCAGGAGATCTCACCATGATCATTTTCAGTGAAAAATCTTTGCAAGAATTCTGCGTATTGTTGGAATGATAGTAATAAAACTTGATATTTACCTGATGAAATATAATAGTTGTACAAAGTTTGTGCAAATTCGTAACCAAATTTGTGGAAATAATGATCAAATCTCAACAAAACATGATTCAATTCTTCGTCCTTAGTGTTTTCACGATCATCTTCTGATATTTCAACGAGTGACTTCAAATCATTATAGGTTTCTGCAATAGCCAATGCTTCAGTTTTGGCGCCAACTAAAATCAAACTCTTAGTCCATACACCTGATCTTGCTTGATATATATTTTGATCATTAGAAAGTGTGTCTTTAATAGCTTTTGTCTTTGGTGATTGTGCTTCTAACCATGATATTTTTTGTTGGTAATTGTAAAACAAAATTTCAGTCAATGTAATTAATCTTTTTGATGTATCAGTATCTGAAGCATCTTTGGAAACTGGTATGAGTTTTGTGAAGGCTTCATCAATATGAACAGCAATAGAATCAGTAGTATACCATGGTTCAACAAGACCGCTCTTTGACAAATCTAAGTTGAATAGATCGTATCTATATTCTTTCTCTGCTTCTAAAACACTATAGTAAACACCAGCAGCAATTTCAGCAGCAATGATTTCTAATCCAGTAACCTTAGATGTCTGTTTCAATATATCAGATACAACAGAATTGATCTGATCCAAATGATGTAGTAACAATTCGTCAAATCCAGTTGAAAATGACTTATTGATAATATTTGAAAGCTTTTCATTAAACTGGTATGATGAGACAACTTGGTGAAAGTTTTTAGCAGCAGTAGCTTTCTCAAGAGAAGCGATCAATTGGAACTTAACCCTATCATCAATTATATCATTAAAATTGAAAGCCGTATATCTTAGCAATTTTTCAAGATTTCTCTTTCTTAAATCTAAATGATCTTGTAGAGAAGACAATCTTGGTGGTAAATAACTTGATTTTGAGTTCAAAATTTCTTCACTGACTTGTAGAAGATCATTTTCAATCCTTTGAGAATCAATGTTGATTTCATCGGAAAAATCAAATTTGATTGGATTTTGTGTATTTCCCCCATAGAAGATTGCTTGTTCCACATGTGATTTTAAGTAAGAACCTTCTTCAATTGGATTCTCATCAGGCTCTTCGACAGTTTGTAATCTATCAATCTTTAAAATACCAGTTCTTGCTGCAATAACATTCAATGATGATAACTTAGAAACAGAACCATCTGTAATTACTTGATCTTCAGGACCAGCACCAATAAATCCTATATCACTTTTGAAAGTAACTATATCTTCCCATCTTTTCTTCAAACTAGAAGTATGATCAAGTTTTTGGACAAGCTCTGATAATACAACAGAATTATCAAAAAGAATAAACCCAGTTGTGCCTGGAGCTGGAACATATAATCTTGGTTGTTTGTTGTATGGTGATGTAAATGTATTCAATTTGTAAGCAGAAACGATAAGTAATTGATCAATATCTTTTCGTATGGTAAATAAAAGATAAAATGTCTCATTAGATCCATTTGAAAAACTTGTGAGAACCAAAAAAGCATCTTGATCTTTAAAATTTGGCAATATTGTCATATCTAAAATTTCCAATGAATTGACAGCAGCTGGATATAAGTCCTTAACGTGATCAACCAATGTTGGTAGTAGATCATTCTGGTATACTTGTTTTGATTGACCATCCCTAGCACATGACCAAACTTGAAAATCACCACCTCTTGTAATTGTAGTCATCACTCTTTCACCATGACCCAAGATTGCAGCTGCATTTATGGAGACAATATGTTTATATGATGCTAATGAAGTACTGAAAAATCCAGTTTGTCTGTGAACAATCTCTGAAGATGAAATGAATGGTTTACCAGCTGAATTTCTTAAAGATAATAAAATTACTCTACCCGTTGATGTTGTTAAGATTATACCTGCAGGTTCAACATTTTCAGCTATTTGAATACTTTCATGATCATATAGTGACAATTGAAATTCAATACCTTTGAAATGGTGTAATAGACCAAACGATGAAGCTTCTCCGACGTTTTCATAAAATCTTATATAACCTGTATGTGAATTGATTGAAACAAGACCCGGTTCTGAGCTACCAGCGGCTGGAGAAACAAGAACAGCAAGTGGTGCAAACCCATTATTTGGTGGAATTACAGGTATTTGAATTGTATTCGGTATGCTATCTGGTGAATCGTATTTCCAAATATGTATCAATTCATCAGAAGCTAATAACCCATGTCCAGTATGTTCATCAATTTGTCCTTTTATATCTGTAGTATTTGATCCGAAGAGAGCCAAAGGAGAAGCAGCAAGTTTGGAAACGACGTATTTTGAGTTTCTGGTCAATTCAGTAGCAGTGTTTGTGAATTTATTTTCACTAATTTTGGAACCTTCAGAGCTTGTTGGATTCCTTAGATCAGACCCAGAACCACGATTACCGGCATTTGAAGTGGCAAATTTTCTCGCGCTAAATGCTGCCCTTCCAGTCATTGTATATCAATTATCACAAAGTGACTAACGAAAGACGTTGATGCAACTGTTCAATTGTTTATGTTTTCGATTCAGATCAATAGAGTTCAAAATTTAAAGCACTAACAATAATAACAAATATTCGCGAATAGACTTTTCACATCTCAGCCTTCAGGGTAAGGAAAGAAGTTCCGACCGTAGTTAAAATTGATAAAGATTCATCTTGAAAATCTTTCTCAAGGTGGTGACAATTCTAAGGCACTTAAATCCATATATATAATCACATTACCATCATTTGTCTTTAAATCAACTCTATAACTGCTGTAGTACCAAGAATCATATTAATTTCTTCTGTAAAGTCACGTTCATAGGTCGGAAGTCAGCTCATCTCATAAAAAAAATTATATAGATATGCAGAAATTTTTTTTATAGGTATAATACTGATATCAATCAAACGATACAAGGAAACAAAGGTATTCATAATGATCAGAACTGTGTAAGTCACTGAAATGCTACTAGTATGATTCTGAGATCATTCACTAACATTAATGAACAGTCAACCAAAAAATGCTCGTTCTAAAAGAGCTTTGAAAAATAAAGAAGCAAAACTTGTTGAAAATACCAAACAAGCTTTATTTGTTCCAGGTGCTACTAGTAATAAATTATTACATGATGCTATGGTTGATTTAAGTGCCTTGAAGAAACCAGATATCAAACGTTTCACTAAAAAAAATGAAGTTAGACCTTTTGAAGATGTTTCAAAATTAGAATTTTTCTCTGAAAAGAACGATGCTTCATTAATAGTGTTTTCAAGTTCAAGTAAAAAAAGAAAGAATAACTTAACTTTTGTTAGAACTTTTGGATATAAAATGTATGATATGATTGAACTTCTAATATCGGATAATTATAAATTATTACAAGACTTCAGAAAATCAACTTTTGCTATTGGTTTAAAACCAATGTTTACATTTAATGGTGCTGTTTTCGATACACATCCAGTTTACAAACAAATAAAATCATTGTTCTTAGATTTCTTCAGAGGTCAAACCACAGATTTACAAGATGTTGCCGGTTTGCAACATATGATTTCAATAACCGCTGCTGATTTCCAAGAAGGTGAACCATTACCTCAAGTCAATTTCAGAGTTTATCTTTTAAAGACATATAAGAGTGGACAAAAAATTCCAAGAGTAGAATTGAATGAAATTGGCCCAAGATTAGATTTTGCTATTGGTAGATTTGAACATGCTTCACCAGATATTGAAAAAGAAGCTATGAAGAGACCAAAACAATTAGAAGCTAAAGTTAGAAAGAATGTCGAAGTTGATATCATGGGTGATAAGATTGGTAGAATCCATGTTGGTAAACAAGAATTAAACAATTTACAAACTAGAAAAATGAAAGGTTTGAAAAAGAGATATGATCAAGTTGGTGATGACTTTGATGATCCAGTCTATGACGATGAACCAGCTAATGAACCAGTCGCCAAAAAGGTTAAAATCTAAGCTTTTATTGAGTCATAAAGTGTATAATAATTGGATAAATGGGATTAATCTGCATATAATATAAATTGATTTTACTACTAATCTTATATTCGTAAGTCATATTTATTTTTATTAAAGTAATTAATGTACAAATGAAATGAAGTCTAATAATTATAATAATGTACAAGTTTCAAAACTCTATTTTTTTGAGCTTCTGTTGCTTGCCAATCTTAGCAAGTTTCTCAATAACATTGCAATGGTGACTTTACCAATCATTGGGACGTAAAGACTTGCTCTTTCTTTTACATCTGGGTTAAAATTCTTCTCACTTGAAAAGTTCACAACAATAGCACCATCTTTAACAAATTCTTTAGGGAATTTATAGTTTGCAGATGGGACACCAGTGACAATAACATCTGCATTTTTTGAGACTTCCTCTAAAGTTGAATCTACATCAACGACTTGATGTCTCTTCAATTTTAAACCTTCACCTCTAGTGAATCTTTGAATACCATCTAAATCAACAGAAAACACTGTAGCCCCATCATTGGCTAATAATGCGGCAAGTGGACGACCAACAATTTCTGATCTATTAACAACCACAACTTGTTTACCGTACAATCTGTTACCATATGGAAGTAAGTTATTATAAGCACCTAAATATTCCAAGATCTTAACAACAGCTAAAGGTGTACAAGGTAAAATAGATTTTTGTGATTCTTCAGCATCTAAAAATCTAACATTATGATACATATTTTGAATGTATTTATGATTAAGACCTTCAACATCTTTTTCTAATGACACAACTTGCTGTAAATATTGATCTTGTCTGTTACCAAAGACAGGGAAATAAACCATTATACCATCAATTGCATCATCTTCATTAGCTTCTATAATGGCTTCCTCTAAATCATCTTTTTTAACAACTCTTAGTTCATAAGTGAAACCTAAAGACTCTGAAGTTTTACCTGTCCAATCAGCATACATTTGAGCAGCTGGATCTTCATTTGCTAAGAATCCAACCAACTTTGGTGATCTTCCTAACGCTTTGACCCCATTTTCGACTTCTTCAATGAAACCTTTAGCAATACCTGAAGCTAGAATAGTACGACCTGCTGGTTTTTCTGACATTGTGACTATGAATGAGGAGTTTTGTTATCGATTGTTGAAATCTTTGACTAATGGGACTATATTGAATATGCCTGAAGCTATAAATCAAGTTGAATTAAGTTTTAAGACGGAATATATCTCTGTTATATACAAAACGGCATACGCTTTAATTAATCTATTAATTCTTTTTGACTCGAATCTATCACATTCTGGTAACGACAACATCACTGCTCGTGGGTTTTTATGACAGAAGTGCACTGAAATTTAAAGAAAATGTCAGTAACAAGTCACAATTCTAAAGACCAGGGCACGATCTAGTTTCTGAGACCATTAATCGAACAAAATGATTATTTCTATGAAGATTATTGTAAACTGGGATTGAATTTGTTTTGCAATAATCAAAAATTATGTACTGAAATACTCCAAAGGCCAGCTGTGTAACGATTTCTGAATATAGACACTTTCCCGATTCGTGATATTTGTTTTTTTCTCACCTTCGATATATGATCGTTTTCATGTGTACAAAGTAGCTCGTTTAGAAACGTATCAGTTTATTACAAGACAACTGTGGATTCAATCGCTGAGGAGAAGCAGAAGACAACCAACTGACAATTATCTCTGAATCATTTGCTCGGTTATTGGGCGTTTGAATCAAGAATCACTGTGTTTTTTGAGTATAGTTATTCGAGGAACAAGACCACAACATAAACAGAATCCCCAAAGAAACAATATTACATATATGAAAAATAATGGGAGGTCATAAAGGTAACCAATCCCAGCCAGTGAGTATATTCCAAATTTCAACTAGATGATCCTTTGGACTAACTTTCTCTACGAAGGAAATGGTACAGGTTTGTAAGTATAGCATTTTTGTGATTTGATTCACATGGCAATCAGCAAAAACCAAACATATGATACTAACCTTTTCATAAAGACCAAAACGAATTCGTTTTCGATGAAGGGGGTGGTAGAGGAAATCCAGGGCACTCATCATCATCATTTTTAAAGTCAATATCATCAGCTTTCAAAGAAAGTAAAAGCAAAAAATCAGTCGTGGCTGATGACATGAAAGTTGTTGGTGCTTCATTTTCTCATTTAGGGCTAGGTAATAGTGATAAATCATCATCATCTGTAAATCTGCCATCAACAAGCAATTCGATCAAATCTTCCAAACCCAAAATTAAACCTATAGGAAGAAATTCATCATTCAAGATAGAATCACCATCCTCCACACCTAGACATTCTGATCAGTATACAGATTTGGATGATGATTGGGACGCAGATGTTGGACAAGGGCTATCATCAACAGAATCACAACCAAAATTTTTGCAAAGTAAACCATCTCGTTCATTTGATTATCCAAGTTTATCAAAATCCAATCATAAGCGCAGTGAATCAGGTGTTAAGAAGCATGTGGACGGTATTATCAAAGATCCAGCCAATTCGTTATATACATTATATGGACCAAATATAACACAAGAGGATAAATCCATCAAAGAAATTGAAGAATTGAATGCTATTGTGTCAAAATTCAACAGATTCAAAGCTATTATACAAGATCAAAATATTAACTTAGTCAGTTTAAGAAAAATGGCATGGAATGGTATACCTTCAGAACTTAGACCTATAAGTTGGCAATTACTACTCGGTTATCTACCAACAAACTCAGATAGAAGAGTTACACAATTATCGAAAAAAAGGCAGGAATACTTGGGTGGTATTAGTCAAGTTTTCAATGATAATAAAGAGCCTGCAACTTGGCATCAGATAGAAATAGATATACCGAGAACAAATCCACACATAAAACTTTATAATTATGAGTGCACTCAACGATCATTGGAGAGAATTCTTTACCTTTGGGCTGTTAGACACCCGGCATCTGGTTATGTTCAGGGTATTAATGATCTTGCAACCCCGTTTTTTCAAACATTCTTAAGCTCTTATGTTGAAAGTGATATTGATATTGAAACATTCGATCCAAAGGTATTACCTAAACAAGTTTTGGATGCCGTCGAAGCTGATACTTTTTGGTGTTTGACAAAGCTCTTAGACGGTATACAGGATAATTATATCCATGCCCAGCCTGGTATTATAAGACAAGTTAATACTTTGAAAGATCTGATCAATAGAATTGACTCTAGTCTATATACACATTTGGAAAATGAAAGTATAGAGTTCATACAGTTTTCCTTTAGATGGATGAATTGTTTATTGATGAGAGAAATCAGTGTTAAAAACACCATTAGAATGTGGGACACCTACCTTAGTGAAACAAATGGATTTAGTGAGTTTCATATCTATGTGTGTGCAGCATTCTTAGTTAAATGGAGTGATGAACTAAAAGCTATGGATTTCCAAGAAATAATGATGTTTTTACAAAATCCACCAACAAAGACATGGACGGAGAAAGATATTGAACTGCTTTTGAGTGAGGCTTTCATTTGGCAAAGTTTATATAAAAATGCATCTGCTCATTTGAGAGCATAAATATATTACAATTTAGACCAATACTTTTAAAATATTATTTGTATTCTTGATGTAAATAACTTGTTTGGTAACTTTTAAGTATAAATGATGTACTGCTTGCTGCCACTACGGTAGTGGCAGCTCATCACTAGCCGAAGAAAAAAAATTAATTCATAAACAATAGATCCGAATATCATCAATATCAAATTTTGAAACAGAAAATAATTCAAAAAGCTTTCACAAATAGACCAGGATCAGGTATAAAGTATTGGGAACTCAACATATTAACGATTTTCCTCAGCTTTAGGTTTCTTGATCAAGTCAAAGCTCATCATTATCACCATTCTGCAGATTTTCGAACCTAGCGCTAAGCTCTTTAGATTCTCTTTATCAGCACACAAGTCATTCATACGCCACAAGTCCCACAAGGCATTCGACAGGAGAGAACTAAAGATCAAAGCAAAAATAAATACCGGATCTGAAGAGATTTTAATCAAAGAGTTTTTATCCAGCAAACAACCACATGTATCAATGTATTCATTCATAACCAATACATACCCAACATCAGACACAGCTGGAACTTCAATCCATTTGGTTGCCCCATCAGGTGAAAAGTTCATTTTTGGCTCAATACCTGAAGGTGCTCAAAGAAGTGTAACACAGCAAAAACTCAAAATTTCAAAGCTTTCAAGTATATTTTTGACAGGTAATTTGAATTGGAAGACAGTAGGTGGTTTACCTGGTTTAATCTTAACAACAAGCGATCAAGGAAAAAAATCTATTTCGGTTTTGAACGGTAATGGGATCTTGAATTATATGATTTCAACTTGGAGATACTTTGTCTTTCGTTTTGGTATGGATTTGAGACCAGCGGTGTTATCTGACGAAGGATCTTATGAAAATGAATACATGGTTGTTAAGCCTGTTAACTTATCAAAGCATAATGCATCGCCATACATGTCAGATACCAACCAAGAAGAAAAGTTAAAGGCAATAATAAGAAATATGTTTCCACTAGATACACAAAGACCAACTGATCCAGAAGAAGAAAGAGGCGACCCGAGCTCCAACGATCCTCATGTCCACGTTGGATTGCCAGAGATAAATGCTGATCAGGTTTCAACTTGTTACACAATTCAATTCAAACCAGTAAGAGGGAAATTTCAAATAGATAAAGCCAAAGAGCTAGGAATCCCAAAGGGTAAACTTTTTGCACAACTAGCTTCAGGGAAGGAGATTACATTAGAAAATGGGACAGTCATTAGACCAGATCAAGTTTTATCAGAACCAAGACATTTTCAACCAATTTTAATAATAGATATTCCTTCAATGGAGTACTTAGAATCTGCTTTGAGTAACAGGTGGCCTGAAAATACTGGGTATGTCTATCATTTACTTGGAAAAGATATTGATATTTCAGACGAGACATACGCTAAGTTTATTGAGTCATTTGGTCCAAATTGTCAGCATTCTATTTCACACCCACTTTACTGTCCAGATTCAGTTGTATTTGAATCATCTGCAATTGCTGTCTTGAAATTGAAAGCTTTAATGAAGGATAATTATAACTTACCTTTATCCTCTGCTGCAACACACCAGCTACCAGACTACAAAAATACAGATGTCGTGAATATTGGACATACAGTCACTGTTGAGTCTAAGCATGAGAATAAAGCTAATACCATCAAAGCTTTAAAGAGTGATACTGATAATTATGGTGAAGATTACTGGCAAAAACTTTATACTGAACATGTTGAGGCTTTAAATTTGAACACCACATCCACAAAAGAAAAAGTATTGAACTTCAAAAATGTCTCAGGGCAGGATTTCAATCCAACATTGTCACTCAAGGACAATGTTGAAACCATAACATTCGGTACAGGAAGTGCTTTACCATCAAAATACCGTAATGTCATATCAAATTTAGTTCGTATTCCATACAAGGATGAATCAGGTGTAAAATTTAGATCAGTTTTATTAGATGCTGGTGAAAATACGATCGGATCACTACAAAGATATTTGGGTAATGATTTGGAGTCATATATGAAAGAATTGAAGCTGATATATTTAAGTCATTTACATGCTGATCACCATTTGGGTATTGTTTCTATCATCAAAAAATGGTTTAAAATGAATACAGGCTCAAACGAGAAATTATACCTTGTGACACCATGGCAATATGATCATTTCATTAAAGAATGGTTCAAGCTTGAAAACGACTATGATATAAGTGATCGTGTTGTCTATATAAGTTGTGAACAGTTCTTAAGAGGCAAGCGCAGAAACGAAGTTCCACAAATTCCATTCGAAGATTTTGTCCCAGGTGGAAGTTACAAGATTCAAGAAAACTTACAACTGTCGAGAGATACTACCAAAATTGATACGATGTTCAACGACGTCGGTATTCAGTCTTTTGCCACTTGTCGTGCATATCATTGTGAATGGGCTTATAGTTGCTCGATTACTTTAAAACTTGATGAATCTAAAAACGATGAAGATGACCTATTCAAAGTATCATACTCTGGTGATACAAGACCAAATACTTATATGTTTCCAACTGTCATAGGTCAAGGAAGTGATCTTTTGATTCATGAAGCAACTCTAGAGAATGAGCTTGTACAAGAAGCAAAGAAAAAGAGACATTGTACAATGAATGAGGCTATTGAAGTCTCAAATCATATGAAAGCCAAAAAATTGATCTTGACCCATTTCAGTCAAAGATACCCTAAATTACCACAAATTGATGAAAATATCTCAGTTGATGCTAAATTCTGCTATGCTTTTGATTCTATGATTGTTAAGTATCATGAGATTGAAGATCAAGAGAAAGTTTTCAAAGACTTGGATAAAGCATTCAGTACAGAAAAGGAACAAGAGAGTGAAGAAGTTGAATAAAATATATAGTTAGACTACATCCATGTAAATACATGTATATACAATACGTACGAAAGAGCATAATTTCATTACTATATTTGATCTTCAACTATTTACTCAGCTTTTGCTAAATTAACTTCGTAAAAAGTTTCCCATAATTCAACAGCTTCTTTTTGCGATTCAATTGTACTTTCCAAAAAAATTTCAATTGAATTCCTAAAGTCTTGAATTTTTTCAATTTCAAAGGATGCTAATTCATCTTTGATTGTATTACTTATTTCATCGAACTTGGTTTTTATAGTATTGTGCTTATGTTCTAATGTATTCAATTCAACTTTCAATACATCTATTTTTTCAGTATGGGTTCTATTGAACTTAAATGTCTTATCAAATGATGCTTGTTTCTTTTTCAATTCGGATTCAGAGCCAGCCAGTTGTAATAGGACTCTATCTCTTTGACTAAAAGTTGTTCTTATAGATCCCACGACTCTTATATACTCATCAAGTGTTGAGCCTAAGGTTAACATATCTTGTAAAGACAATCTATCAAGTGATTCTTTAATTCTTAATTGCGTGACTGAAAATTCTTGGAATAAATCCGATGAGCTCCTTGAAACTTCTAATTCAGATAAGGTTCCTAAAATTAAAGAGAATTCTTCTGTGACAGCAGATAAATCATGTCTTTGTAAAACAACAGTCTCTAAATTTTTCAAAAATACTCTTAACTGTTGATCTAAAGCTTCAATATAAGATTTCTTATCTTTGAAATATTCATCAGGTTCTGAAATCTTTGGAGCAAAGGAGAATGCACCACCAATAGAACTGAGGAAACCACCACCACTACCACTAGAGTTCAAACTTGCATCAACTTCTTCATGTGCAGTGAAAGTTGATGACGCTGTAGCGGCTCTTTCGCGTTCTCTAGCTTCGGATGAAAATCTATCACTTTGTAAAAACATTATAAAATCTGGATCTGTTTGTAGATTAGGATTTTTGGAAATTTTAACAAGCATCCTTTCTAATGCAAACCTTCTAGCTTCTATGAAATCATCATTAAATCTTCCCACAGCTTGCTTTTCAGGTGGTGGTGGAACAATTCTACCCGGATGAGTTGTTTGTAATTGACGATATAGCCATCTAAAATCTCTATATCTTCTTGAAACAACAGTCTGTGGTGTTCTCAAAAGTTCTGAATCTGTATTTGTACGAACACTATAAGCTGTGTGTGCAGATGTTAAATCACCCACTTTAATAGGATCACCAACGACTATTTCTAGATTTATATTGGATTGTTCAGCTTCTTGTTTTTTTTGTTGTATTTTAGCTTGTTCCAATTGTTGTTGTGGATCTAATGAAGATTGTGCTTCTGAATTGGCAGTAGATGATTCTCTAATTGATGATGATGATACACCACTCAAGCTTGGTTGTGATTCTGATCTATTACTTTTCAAAGGTGACAACGGTGTTCTGTTTATTTCAAAAATTGGTGCTTCTGATGCTCTTAACAGTTTATCAGCTGGTGATTCTGTGTCTTGATTTTGAGATTCGGTGTCATCGGTGATTCCTAAAGGACCCAAAACATCTGAATTTTCAGTAGTATCTAATGGTGATGATTCGACCTCTTTCTTTAGTGTTGAAGTCTTACTGCCATTACGACGAAATCTTGGTGTTTTATAAACGTTCTTTCGACGACTTGCTAATTTTGTTGGTGATGTCAAATGAGCTGTTGATTGTTCTGTTTCATCTTTATCATCATCACCAAAATCTAGTGTCCCTTTATTTTTATCCGTAAACAATGTACCATCCTTCTTTGGAGATTTGACAGACTCACTTATGAAACTTTTACCACTATCAGCAGTCAAGGAAGATATCAATCCAGTTTTATCTTTAGATTCTTTAGGGTTTGAACTCCCACTAACAAGATCTTCATCAGGGGTTTCCACTCTGGTTTCATTATTATTTGTTTGCTTGTTTGACTCTGATCTATCATCCCATTTACCTGTGTCTTCCACAGCAGCATTATCATCTTCATCCTGCTCGTTGTCATCATCTTCGTCTTCTTCATTTTCATGATCATGTAGATTTTGTTGCGATAGTGTAGCTGATAATTCATTAGCTATATTTGAGCTTATATTCTCACTGAACCTTGAGGGATTTGACGATAGAACATCATCCCAGTGTGAGCTCTCTAGACCATCTTCAGCCATCTTTGTCAATTGATTTTTTTCTATGATTGGATTACCAAAGTTATCAATGATAAATCTCCAGAATGTTGTTATTCAAATTTAAGGATCGTGATAAAACGCTCAACAAAATTCGCGAATGGGTGCGCTGGCTTTGTAGTGGACTAACCGCTAGCTTCCCATAATGTCTTTGAATTATATTCAGCACCAAAACATCAAATAACTGTTTAATACACTCTTTAGGCTAAGGTTAAGGCTAAGTTTCCTGCTGATTAATCTCTGCTTACTTGTTGTGGTGGATACAATGTCGCAATTGAAGAACAGGAAATCAAAAGGGTCACAAAAGTCACAAATCGATTCATCATCTCAATTGGACCCATTGAATCAAAACAAATTAAATGATGATTCAGAATTTGATAAGAAATCATCAAAATACAAAAGAAATTTTTCATTATGGAACATATGGGTAGCTGCTACAATTCTAAAGGTCTTATTATTTGATACTTATCATTCAACAGATTTCGATGTTCATAGAAACTGGCTGGCAATAACAAATAAATTACCAATACGTGAATGGTATTTAGAGAAAACAAGTCAATGGACATTAGATTATCCACCATTCTTTGCCTATTTTGAATGGTTCTTATCACAATTTGTGCCATCAATTGTTCAACAAGATGGATGCTTAGACATCGTTCCAAAAGGTGTATATGGTTGGCCAACAGTTGTTTTCCAAAGAAGTACAGTTATAGTATCAGAAATTTTATTATTTGCAATCTTACAAACTTTTATAAATATAAGTGATGATAAAATTTCAAGCTTTATAATTGCAAGCTCATTGGTCTTATCGCCTGGTTTATTGATTGTTGATCATATTCATTTCCAATATAATGGGATGATGTTTGGTTTATTAGTTGGTGTTATTGTTGCTGCTAGACATGAAAAATATTACTTATTAGGTGCATTGTTTGCAAGTTTATTATGTTTCAAGCATATTTTCTTATATGTGGCACCTGCTGTATTTGTATATTTGTTAAGAAACGTTGTTTTAGATGTTAGTCAAAAATCAATTATAAAATTCATCAAATGGGATAAATTGATCAAATTAGGTTCAATTGTTATCATTATATTCACTTTAGCATTTGCACCATTTGCTTATTATCAAGTTTTACCTCAACTATTTGAAAGATTATTCCCATTTTCAAGAGGTTTAACACATGCCTATTGGGCTCCAAATGTTTGGGCAATTTATTCATTCTTAGATAAAGTTTTGATTGTCATTTCTAAAAGACCATATTTTAACAATATTTTAACTAAAACAATTGGAATTCCATCAATTGATATCATCAATGAAAAGATCTTAGCTGCAGGTAATACAGGTACAAAAGGTTTAGTTCAAGATGTTTCATTCATTATTTTACCAAATATAACACCAAAAGTTACCTTCTTGTTAACATTATTCTATGATATTTTATCACTTTTACCATTATTATTACAACCAAATTTCAAGAGATTTGTTGGAGCTTTGACATTAAATGCATATGCATCATTTTTATTTGGATGGCATGTTCATGAAAAGGCGATAATGTTAATAATTATACCTTTCACATTTTTGATTAATGAAAGAAGATTATTAAACTCATTTTTAATTATAGCAGGTTCAGGATATGTTAGTTTATTCCCATTATTACCAAATCAAAATTTAATCAAACAATTTTATACATTAATTTGGTTCATTATTTATTCATTATCATTTATGGAAGTATCTAAACAGAAAACATCACAAAATAGAATTTTCTTATTTGATAGAATTTCATTAGTCTATTTATCAAGTTTAATACCCATGGTATTAATGGTATTTTTTATTGATCAATTCAAATCACAAATCCCAATACTATCAAAATTCGAATTTGTTGGATTAATGATATATAGTGTTTATTGTGGTATTGGTGTTATTTCAAGTTGGTTTGGATTAAGTTGGTTGTACTTCTTTGAAGACTCAATTTGGGAAGAATAATCAAGTAAAGATCAATACTCATTTTTTCATCTTTAATTTAGCTTTTTTACAAGGTGGACAATTCCATTTACCCCTTGGAGCTCTTGTTAATCCAACACAATTATAATGAAACCATTCATATTTACATTTTGGATTGTCACAAGCAATCATTTCACCAAAACTTGATCTTCGACAAATACAATATAATGCATCGTCATCATCTTCGTCACTATTTCCTTCCTCTTGTAGTTCTTCTTGTTCAAGTTGTTGTTCCTTTTGAAGTTTTGATGGTACACCACGCTTGCGTTTCTTAGATTTACTAATAGTGGTTGTTGGTTCTGGTGTTCTTTCAGGTGTAGTGGGTTGAATAATTTTGAAAGGTCTACCTCTTCTTCTCTTTTGTGGGGAATCATCTTGATTAGAATTTGGTTTTGGATTCAAATTCAATTTAAGAGTAATTTTTGGTTGTTTGGTTGAAGATAATCTATTTGAAGTTCTTTTAATATTTGATCGTTCAACTTTTTGACGAGTCTTACCATTCATACCTAATTCATGTTTAAAATTTTTTTGATCATGTTCTAATTGACTATATTGATTTTGTAAACTCAATTTGGTAATTTTGATGGTGGAATTGATTGATTTAGCTTCTTCCAAAGATTCCAGTCGAATGGATCGTAGTTTAGCGGCAACTTTGTTGATTTGAAAAACCTTCGATAGATATGTCTCTCTGGGTATGGATGGTTTTTGAATTTGTCCTAAAAGCATAGATAATTCATCCTTTGTTGTCTCATAACTAATGTTTAACGTTTGGATGAGCCATAGTTTTCTGATAATATCTGAAGGTAAGTGGTCTACCACTGATATGAATGATGATCTGACATCAAAGTCTGACATTCTGTTTGTTCACTGTTCTTTCCTACTGAGACTTCTGACTTTGTTATTGTTTACCAAACGCGTAGAAATTTAGCCACCATATAAAAATAAATTTACCGCGATGAATAAAATCTGATTACATAAGTGGAAAGGTAATTTCAAAATACATCACTCAGGTTTCGAATGGGCGTATGCTCAAAATTGTTAAGGAGATTTATGATAGCCAATCAACGACACGCAAATGCTAATTTTCAATCATCATCGCATAACTGAAACACACCGTCTGTTACGGAATATGCTGCACCAATAGCAAAGAGCTGATTCAGCTACTAGTGAACAAATAGACTATATGCTTAATATTGGTATCATTGAATAAGTACAAATTCATAGATTTATATTAGCTATGTTTCAACTTATAATATAGATACCTCCCTTTGTAAATCACTGAAAACCCTCTGTTTTCTTAACGTTTTGCAGTTCCATTTTGCATATTTTTCACTGTTGGCCAGAAAAAAACTCTGCGAATTTTTATCCAATAAAACAAAATTTAATTTTTCATGGTAAAAATCATCAACAATCTGTCTAGCTAAAAAAAAATATAGTCTCGAATAACAACAATCTTTCACGTTTGAATTTTAATTCCTCAACCTTCATCCTAACAACAACGTTGAATAGTTTAGGCTCATACATTCAAATTCAATAAGGATGTTTTCTTCTATCAGATCCACTGTCAGAAATAACATCGTATGTCTCCCACACACAGATAATGATCCATTTTGGTTATATGTTTCTCGAGTATTTGGTTAAGGAAAAAGAAATCGCATCAACCGCAATAATATCAATCAGCATTTACACAACAATGTCCCATGGAATTTCACTGAATAAACTTACTATCCCATTAATTGAGATCTGAATTTTCCAATGGTGTAATCAGAATTGCAATCACTCTTTTCAAAGTTTCAAATTTTACGTTTTGTGATATATTTACTATGTGCGATACCAATAACATAATAGATCAACAAAGAGGAAAAAGACTATACTCGGGAACATTTCACCATTCAATGATCAAACCTCACAATTTGAGTTTTTACTAACAATCTATTATAGAAACAATTTTCAACCTCAGCTAAAAAAGCTGCTGTTGAACCAAACAGTCTCACCAAAAAAGTTATTGCTGGTGGTGTTGCTGCTTCTGGTTTAACTGCCTCTTATTTATTATATGAAGATTCAGTCACCGCTGATGCCATGACCGCTGCTGAACATGGTTTACATCCACCAGCTTACGGTTGGTCTCACAATGGTATGATTGATACTTTTGATCATGCTTCAATCAGAAGAGGTTACCAAGTTTACCGTGAAGTTTGTGCTGCTTGTCATTCTTTAGAAAGAGTTGCATGGAGAACTTTAGTTGGTGTCTCTCACTCAAACGCTGAAGTTAGAGCTATGGCTGAAGAATTCGAATATGATGATGAACCAGATGATCAAGGTAACCCAAGAAAGAGACCAGGTAAATTAGCTGATTATATTCCAGGTCCATATGCTAATGAACAAGCCGCCAGAGCTGCTAACCAAGGTGCTCTTCCACCAGATTTATCATTAATTGTTAAAGCTAGACATGGTGCTTGTGATTATATCTTTGCTTTATTAACTGGTTATCCAGATGAACCACCAGCAGGTGTTGTTTTACCACCAGGTTCAAACTATAATCCTTATTTCCCAGGTGGTTCAATTGCTATGGGTAGAGTTTTATTTGATGATTTAGTTGAATTTGAAGATGGTACCCCAGCTACTACTTCACAAATGGCTAAAGATGTTACCACTTTCTTAAACTGGGCTGCTGAACCAGAACATGATGAACGTAAAAGATTAGGTTTGAAAGCTGTCATTGTTTTATCTGCTTTATATTTGATTTCAGTTTATGTTAAAAAATTCAAATGGGCTCCAATCAAAACAAGAAAAATCAGATTCACCCCACCAAAAAATTAAAATGAATTTTAATGAATTTAACAATTTATAATTCTAGATTTTTAATCTTTCTTTTAGATTGAATCTTGAAGGATTAAAAATCTTCATACTCAAATAGCATATCTTAAATTATAATTATATTCATAAAAAACCATTTTAAACATAAACATTCAAATAAATCACAAAAAAAAAACCTTAAAAAAACTCAAAAAATTTTAAATTCAATCAAATTCTATATTAGTTCAATTAATTTTCCATTTATATTATAAAATCATATTGATACAACAACATTTTTTTTATCAACAATTACTATTTATTATTAATTTTAAATGTTTCCAATCCAATTTTTTTCAACTTATACCAAATAATCATTATAATAATTTTTAACCATGTCTTCATATATATTACCAATAGTTGAAAAGAAATCATAATACTATAGATTAAAAATTGGAGAGGGAAAATATGTTTTTTACAATATAAAATAATACAAAATAATGGTCTACATATAAATTTGATTGGATCTATATATATCTTTAAAGTCTGAAGGGAAAAAAAAATTAAAATCATGATTAACAAGAACATCCTATTTATTTTTATATTAAATTCCAAAAAGAAATTTTTTTATCATTCAATTACATACAAATCTTATTACGAATTTTTAAATTATAAAGGAGGATCATATAATGTTTTTTTCAATTACAATTGTTTATATAAAGAAAGAAAAAAGGATATATATTCTCTCAAATCTAGTTGCATTTTGTTCATATATAGTATATTAAAAGAAAAATATTAGAAATCAAATCGTCTGTCATCTGTAGCTGATCAAATTACCATGAATTAAATGAAACTGCTTCATCCGAACTTTTGTCTTTCTTGTTATTTCTAGCCATTGAGCTGCGATGTGTACGTCGACATAAAATTATACACATGTCCCTCATGCAAAATAATTTAAAATTAGTCAGTATAATTATAAGCCTCTTCAAGCGATTTATATTTAATCCCCAAGTTAGCTAGAAGTTTTCAACTCATGCATATATTGTACTGTGTGAATATACATATATACGTAGTACTATACTATTATCGCTATAGACCTTGGTTCTGGCAACAATTTTTTTTTTTTTTTTTTTTTTAAAAGTAAACCACTTGTATT